CCGACAATGGCTACGCTTGACACGGTGCTCCTCTAATCCCCGCACCGTCACCCCGGAGGTGGGCTGTATCCTCATTCCAAACTGTTGGGGCTGGATCTGGAAGACTCCGTTTCATCTCAGTTCTGTACAGATAACGCCGTTATTATCATTGGGAGTGGTGGTGATGATGCTGCTGTTGTCATTCTTCCTGTATTTTACAGAACACTCAGTGAGGACTCGGGCAGTCAGCCATCATCGAGCACATCTCTGTTTCTGCAGTGAGACCTAGGACCTTTCACGCTATAAAGAAGATCAGTGAAGAGCCTCCGGTCAGTCTTGCCCCAAACGGTTTGCTACGGACTCACCGAAGAGCCTTCAGATAGACTCAGCTCGTATGTCTACAGCTGAAGAAGCGGACTCAGAAATACTAGGGACCGTGGACAAGCATTCGTGTCCTGCATGCTGGCTGCGTGCTCGCCACGAACCACACGGCCGAGAAGCAGACAGCCACATGCTCTCGGGAAGTTACTGCGCTCACACACTGTGAATGTTCAGCGCCGCCTGATCCACGACGGCCAGAAAGTGGAAACAGCCCAAATGGTCCGTCGACCGATGAATGGATAAACACAATGTGGTCCATCCGTCCAGTGGAATACTGCTCAGCAATCGGAGGAAGGACGTGCTGGCCCACGGCACAACGTGGAGGAAGCTGGAAAACACGATGCTCCGTGGAACCCGTGCTCACCGGACGCAGATACGTAATGTAGGCCCTAGAGGGCTTATACGAAGTGTCCAGGAGAGGCAGAGTTCTAGGGATGGAGGGGATTAGTAGTTGCCTGGGGCTGGGCGGTTGGAGAGAAAATATGCAGTCAGTGCTCTAGTGAGGACTCAGTGATGGAAAGGTCCTAAACTCGACTGAAGCCACGAGGGCACAAACTTTGTGACTGGTATATACACTCTCAGTGGGTGAGTTGTATGGCAGGTGAATTGTATCTCAATAAAGCTGTTATTAACAAAGGAGAAGTAGGGGCGTCCGGCTGGCTCAGTTGGCGGAGTATGCAGCTCCCGATCTCAGGGTTGTGAGTTCGAGCCCCACGTTGGACATAGAGATTACTTAAAAATAAAAAATCTTAAAAAAAAAAAGAAGAAGAAGAAGTAGAGGCATCTGGCTGGCTCAGTGGGTTAAGTGTCCGACTCTTAGTTTCAGCTCAGGTAATTATCTCAGGGTTGTGGGATCAAACCCCGGGTTGGGCTCTTCGCGGAGTCTGCTTGAGATGCTCTCTTTCTCCCTCTGCCCCTCCTGCTTATGCTCTCTCTCTCTCTCTCTCAAATAAATCTTTTTTTTTTTATTAAAGATTTTATTTATTTATTTGAGACAGAGAGAATGAGAGAGAGAGAGAGCATGAGACGGGGGAGGGTCAGAGGGAGAAGCAGGCTCCCCGCCGAGCAGGGAGCCCGATGAGGGACTCGATCCCGGGACTCCAGGATCATGACCTGAGCCGAAGGCAGTCGCTTAACCAACTGAGCCACCCAGGCGCCCTCTCTCTCAAATAAATCTTAAAAAAAAAAAGAAGTAAATGCTTTTGGAGTGGGAGCAGAAGTCACAACCTACTGGAGACATACGCTTGAAACAGTTTCAGTTTTGCCAAGTACTGTTTTCCTAACCACTCCACATCCCGTAACTCACAAGCGGTTCTGACCCAGCGTCCACACGCTCAGTGGCTTTCTGAGAACGGTCTCACTCTGGGATTCATTCATCAAGGTTCTCCAGGAATTCAGAAACAATAGGATGTGTACATAGAGAAAGAGACCTATTTTAAGGTGTTGGCTCACATGATTATAAAGGCTGGCAAGTCCAGAACCTGCAGGGTAGTCCAAGGGCGGGAGCTCCAGGAAGATGGTGCAGTTCAAGTCCAAAGGCTGTCTGCTGCCCAATTCCCTCTTGCTCAGGGGAGGGCAGCCTTTTTTGTTCTAGTCAAGCCTTCAACTGATAGGAGGCAATCTGCTCTACTCAAGTCTACTCAAAGTCTACTGATTGAAATGTCAATCTCATGCAAAAGCACCATCACAGAAACCTCCAGAACAATACTTGGCCACGGCCTCACCAAGCTGACACATAAAATTAACCATCCCAGATTCCGTCTTGTTTATTCTGAAACTCTACTCTCAATCTGGATTTGGAACTTGCCCTGCCTACCCTCCCTCCGCTTCTGGTTTCCAGAAACCCTGTTTCCTGCCTCTTCCAAAGCCTGGCTCCTCTGGGCAGCTTGCACTCCTCTCACCTGGCCGTGCTCTGCCAGGGTCTGTCAGGCTCTCGCTGCAAGCCCCTCTCCCCCTCGACCTCTTCCCCCACCACCATGCATACACACCGCCCAGCTGGCTGCCTTTCTAGGACAGTGGGATGGCTCAGACCCAGTTTCCTTCTGCGGGTTCCTACAACCTCCCCTCACCCCTGACACTCTGCCCATTGAAGCTCCAGAGCGGGAGCTCCGGCTGGTCCTTGCATCGCTGGGGAAACTGCATCGCTCCCATCCCTGAATATGGACCGAGTCCGTTTTCCTCAGCAAGTCTTGCAGGGAGGGGCTGCTCCCGAAGGCTGTGACAGGAGAGGAGGAGGAGGTCCCCAGGCCCCCTGTGAGGAGCAGCCAGCCCTCACCAACGGGGCCACCACAGTTTACAGGACAGCAAGGGTCAGGAGTGCTGGAGGATGGGCGGGAAGCCAGCAGGGCCTGGGGCACTGAGCTAGTGGAGGGCAGCGGGGCAGGGCAGGGCACGCAGGGCCTCCCAGGCCGTGGGAAGCAGCTTGGGGTTTCTGCTGAGTGCAGGGGAACCACCCCTGGGGCTGAGGGTAACCTGAGAGCTTTTTAGTTGAAGGAGGTAACACTGCACCAAGCGCAAATACAGCTCTGCCCTGGCCGTGCGTCTGGCCACGTCGGGCAGGACGTCTCTCTCTCTCTCCAACTTTCTAATTTCCCCCTTTAACTTTGACCGAATTGGACTGAATACAGCAGAACTGAGGACATTTTTGTGTGCCTGAGTTTTTGACAGCCCCCGTTTGTGTATGGCAAGCGGCACTGATTTTCCACACAGTAACGACATGGCCAATTTTCAACTTCGTCAAGAAATTGATTTAAAAAGTTGGTTAAAAAACCAAGGAAGTCAGTGGAACCCTGGGTGGTTCAGTGGTAGGGTAATGTCGTAATGGGGGTCCATGAGTTGGATTCAGCCTACGGACTGCTCAGGTCCCAGGGTCACCTGAAGTTCGTCTTTTCCTGTAAGTTGGCTGGACCGCGGATGCAGCTTCCCTCACTGTCCAGAGCTGAGTCCTGCTCTACCAGCATGTTGGGGTGCTTCCCTACCTAGCGGGTCAATAGCCAGCCAGGACAGGCGCATCTCCAAGGCTTAGATGGGGCTTCCAGACTCGGGGAAGTCACTTTCTTGCCCCTTTGCTGGAGCTCAGTCTCTGCCGCTCAAGCCGACCAGAACCAAGGGTCTAGCCTCCTTCTCAAAGTGGGGCTCCTGGGCTTCACCATGGCCCATTGCTCCCAAGCATCAGGGCAATGTAACTGGCTACCCGAAACACTTATTTCTAGATGAAAACAGATACCACGGAGAATGCAACATTCCTACGTGGTGTGGTTTTGACTCTAAAATGCAGAGCTTAGGGCGCCTGGGTGGCTCAGTTGTTAAGCGTCTGCCTTCGGCTCAGGTCATGATCCCAGGGTCCTGGGATCAAGCCCTGTGTCCAGCTCCCCACTCAGCAGGGAGTCTGCTTCTCCCTCTCCCTCTCCCTCTGCCCCTGCTTGTGTTCCCTCTCTCGCTGTGTATCTCTCTGTCAAATAAATAAATTAAAAAAATCTTAAAAAATAAAATAAAATAAAATAAAATGCAGAGCTTAAAACTCTGCCCCCCAATCCCAAGATGCACTTCCTCCGTCCTCTACTGACCTTTAGGGGTGTGTTGGCAGGCGACCTGAGAGCCACCGTGCTAGGACTTTGTTTCCAGTTCCAGGGCCGGGCTGGGGTGCTCTGAAGGCCAGGGGAGAAAGAGGAGTTCGAAGCACCGGGCGTGCAGAGGATCCTTAACTTACCACCACTGTCGTTCCCCTTTCCCATGACCTTGTGAATGCCTGCTTGGAGGAAGCCCTGCCAGGGCCTGGGGCTGGGTGTCTGGAAGGGGCCCCCAAAGCTCACTGGGGTTGCGATTCTGGCTCTGGCTCAGTGACCCCATTGCCCACATCTGGCATCAAAGTCTCCGCAGGAATTGGTCTAAGCTTTGGAGAAGGGGGAGACCAATGCTCCCATGCTCGGAAGTGGTCTTTTAACCCAACAGCGAGCCAACTCACTCAGTGCGACCTCCATTTGTGGGTGATCCAAACATCTGCCCCCTTCACCCCAGCCCATCTTCACGCTGTTCTCTCCGTACCCTTGAACCCGGATTTGACTCCCCGCCCCCCACCTGTCAAGAACTTCACCTCGACTTTCCCCGGCGCCCCCAGTTCAACCAGTGGCACTACAGCGATTTTCGGTTCTCAAATGTCAACGGGGGACGGGCTGTCATTCCTTCCAGTACTCAGCACCTACCACGTGTCTGAGCATGTGGCCTACCCAGGTGAGCAAGAGCTGTCACCAGCCGGTGGCCTGGCCCAGTGCCTCAAGGTACCGACCGGAGGGGAGGATGACACTCCCGTAGCAAGCGGCTGCGACCGGGGGTGGGACAGAGGTGCCTGCTCGTGCTGGGGACAGTGCGCACGCGGGCGGGCGAGCCGGGCCAGGCACGCATCCGGGGCTGCGGGAACCGCGTGGCTGCTGTGAGCCGTACGTGGGAATAATGCGTGACCGGATGTGCGAAAGCGTTCAGAGTGCCTCCTGCAGGCGGCCGTGACTCAAGGCCACCTGGCCAGGGGAACGTCGAGGGCAGAATAAGGGCCTGGACTAAAGGCCCAAGCAGCTGAGAGAGGTTATGGCCACTTAGGGAATAGAGCTGTAATGATTTAAGGACTAGGCAAAACCCAAAACCACTTTTTAATTTTTTAAATCAAACACTTTATTTCCACATAACAAGCGCAAAAAACTCCCAAACACTTTAACAATACAATTAACGCAGTTATGAATTCAATTATATACTACTCAAAGCCCCAAAAGGTCAATCAGCTTAACGTTCCAAACATTTCCAAACGTGGTTTTTCAAAGCTACCTTTGGTTTTTGGAAAAACCAGTATGGAAGTCAATATACATTGAATGCATTGAACAACATTTGCTTATAGGAAGGTGTCCAACATTAGCTCACACCTGGCAAGCCGGAGCAGGATCTGAAGTCACTGGGATACACACACAGGTTTTGCCCCAGAGCTCCCGGGTCAGGAGAGGGGGCCGTGAAGGGGGAAGAAGGCGGCCAGTCCAGGTTGTGGCATTTCTCATTTTGTAACAGAGGTATGAGAGTTTAACACTAGAACACTGGCAAGTCATTAAGCTTCATGTTCCAAATGGTCTCTTGCTGAGGCTTGAGATGGGCACAAATGGTGGGGAAGATGAAGTCACAGGAGAGCTTTGAGCAACAAGATCCCAAAGATGCTCAGAGAGGGTAGGAAGGAGCAAGCTACAGTTTCCCATTGTTCTCACATTATTTCAGGGTGAAATTGTGGAGAAGTTCGGATAGAATGTTCAAATATTTGCTTAGATTTGTACTCGGTTGCTCTATGAGGACCCTCATATACAGCAACGTTGAAACGTTCATTGTAAAAAAGAGCGTACAAAGAAATTCACAAAAAAGAGACAATTAATGTTGAGCAGCCAAAAAGTCATGGTTTATTATATCGGGAGGGATTTCATAATTCAAACACAACCAAACTGTACATTTTACAATCACATTCTATTTGTAAACAGTTAAAAGCCACTGACTTCTTTTGCATCTTAGGACACAAACAGATCAAGGCAATGAAATGATGGCAAATTCTGCGCTGTTAAAATGTTTACCCTTGTTTGGCCCGTCTTCTTTGACTAAGCAAGCATTATAATACCATTTGTGGGCAAAAAAAGGGGGCGAGGAGAAAGTAAGTTTAAAAATGGTATAACTCGTTAGTTTGCAACAACATTTAAAATTTTCTTTATACAACGAACAATTCTGTAAGCCCAGTACCTTGGCTACAGTATGCATAGTTACTGATTTCGGCTTTAAGGTACAACAGTTCAACATTAACACAGTCACAGGAGAGCAGAAACAGAGAGAGCCACTTGATGGGGTTACAAAAAATTATCACCTATTGATTATTAGCAAACCGTCATCATCACTCACTAATAAAAAGACAGCATCTGAAAGCAGAATGTCAACTCCAGCTTTAAGCGTTTTTTTGTTTTTTTCTTTTTTTTTGGCAGAGAAACTTCTTTAACAGACCAATACGTAGTATCAGTGCTAAAAGTTGGGGTTTTCGTTTTTTTTGTTTTTTTTTTTTCCCTATAAGAAACTACAAGGAGATATTTTTTTTATTTTTTTATTTTTAAAATTTTTTTTTTTTTTCCTAACTGGGGAACTGGTTTTCCTGAGAACCATGCTCTTGGATTTAGGACAGGAATAGAAAACAAAAGAACATGGCCAAATGCTGCTCCTTTTTCCCAGAGATAGAAAGCATCTTGTAAATCATCCTCCATTGTTTTTTTTTTTTTTGTCTTTTAAATTTTTTTTAAATGATGGAAGAGTAAACATTTTTTTTTTCTCAAAAAACAAACAAAAAAATCTGTAAACAAGAAGGTTCACAGTGGGAACCTTCAAAACAAAATGGAAAGCCTATTCAAAGTGCAGGGCCCGTCCTGGGTGGCAGGGGGGCTGCAAGTCACAGCTGTGGCCACAGTTTTTCAAACTGCAGAGCGAAATTCTTTAGTTTTAGAACATGAAAACACTGGTGCAATACTTTCATTTATAGTCCTACGTCAGCATCAGAACTCGGGTCTTTTAAACTCCACGACACCACAGTAAGGTAGGCAAACATCAAGGCATAGTAGAGAGCGCACACCTTTAAGAACATCCTTGAGTAAACATTTACACCGGAACAGCTGCCCCCCCATATTGCCGATTAGACGAGAGAACATCATTCAGTGCAAAGTTAAAAGCTCATACATTATCAGCCCAAAAAAATGGTCTCGCAAAAAAAAAAAAAAAAAAAAAAAGAGCGAGAAAGAAAAAAAGGAAAAGAAAAAAAGAGAGAGAAAGGAAAACGGGGGGTGAGGGATGGGGAGGGAAATCGGGAAGGGAAGGAGGAAAGGGGCGGGGAGGAAAACAAAAAAAAGAACCCAAAGGCTAAACATGATGAATATACACAAGTGAGCTCATTCTATACGGTTTAGCATGTATGGCGCTATTTGGGAGTGTAAATAGATAGATACCTTTTCACATTATAATATTGGCCTGCATGATTCAAGTATTCAAACTGATATGTTTCAGGGAAAACAAAGTGGAAAATGTGCAGAGAAGAGCTGTTCCCACAGGTGGCCCCTGGCTGCAGGCGGCGAGCCCAACTTAGTGCTCCTTTCTTTATGCTTCTTGAGGTCACAGTTCGTGAGTCTACATCGACACGTTACATGGACTCTCCACCCCCACCCAGGTGGTCAACAGAAAGAAAAGCGTTAATGGGGGATGGGCTGCTAATTCCCCTGGGGTCGCTGCTGCTGGGAGGACCCCACAGGCTTGTGGAATAATGTGGGGTCCCCCAGAGTGAAGTGCCGTGAAGGTCTCCACAGTGAGTTCCCGACAGCCCAGCACCATTCCAGTGATTGAGATCGGTCCGGCTGGAGAACGAGTGGGAACAGTCGAGGGAGCCCAGCCGGCTCTGGCTGGACCCGAGAGACTGCCAGCCGGGAGAAGGGGTCAGAGACTGACTTTGTGCAAAGAAACGGCTGATCTCCTCTTCACTGGCAAACTCAGCAAGAATAGTAGTGTTCCCCAATACACACCTGGAGGGGAGACAGAGGGGATACGGTGAAGACTCGGGGCATCTCAAGGGTCTGATTCGAAGTGAGGGGAACACTCAGCCTCTGCTCAAAAGGTGAGGGGGGGGGTGCCAGGCCTGGCCCAGGGCTCTCCAGGGCCCACAGCAAAACCTGCCCCACCGTGTGGTTGTGGTATCCAGACAGATCAAGGCTTTTTTGTCTCCTACAGGTGATTTAAGAGATTTGTCTAGGGCCCTTTTGAGGGGTGACGCTTCCCCTTAGGAGTACTGACCTTGGAACCCAAGACAGAGCGAGGCTGCCACCTTACGAAGCACTCTTACCGCAGGGCCCCACGTGCTGGCCCGGAGATGACACACAGTGTCATCAGCTGTGTTTCCACACACAAGGGAACCCAAACTCCTCCAATTATGAGGGCACCGGATGGCCAACTTACATGTGCAGAGACTTTTGTGCCTTCACTACCTCTTCTTTTGAACTGTAACGGACCAAAGCATTTCCATGTGGGAGGTTCAGGTGGAATGTTATCAGTGGGCCATGCTGCATGCACAGAGTACGCAGAGTTGAGCCATCGATCTAGGAGACAGAGTGTGGGGTGCCGCCAATTAGATGATCCGTCACGAGGACCACCCAGGGAGGTCGTCCCAGGCTGGGACTCTGCTCCTCTCTTTCCTGCCCGAGGTTCTGCACTCCTGCTGACACTCTTCACTGGGACTCACTGCTGTGACGGGGTCCAGTGCCCCCCTCCCCACCTCCACTGGTCCCAGAGCCATACCTCTGTGGCCTCTAGATTCCTGGACACTCCCCAGATCCCCACTTCCTTAGTTAGCCATGCCCCTGCTGTGGCTTCATGTCTTCTCTCTTCCCTGCCCTGAGGACAGGATTCATCAAGGCACTGCTCCCTGGGAGAGGAGGGGGTGGGCTCTTAACATCCAGCCTCCAGAGGAGGGGTGGTCCGGGGCCTAAGGAGATTTTCTCATCTACGAGGGCAGACCAGGGTTTCTCGACTGCAGTACAAGGACCACCTGCATGAAAGTACAGACCCTGATCCTAGCCCGGACCTACTCATACTCCAGCAGCATCTCTGCAGCGAGACTGAGGAATCAATTTTGGTCGGCTCCATGCACATTTTGTAGTGTAAACAAACTGGGTCAGACCACAGCCTGCCTGAGGCATCCAAAGATCCTCCTCTGTTACTTCCTTGGCCTGATCTACTCAGCCTGTGGGAGGCCTGGGGAGGACCTCCTCTCAAACAAGTCTGGAACTCTCTGTTCCCGTGCTACCTGGCCCATGCCTATTGGCCAGGGTGCCTAATATTCTTACCTGAGGTGTAAGGTTCTTTAGAACAAGCCAATTTGTTATTCTCCCTGAGCTGCTCTCACCCCAGCTGGAACCTAAGGACAAAGAAGGGCAAGTCAGTTTTCCACAGCTGGGGCCCGAATGACACTGAGGACAAACACATCCCAGTCAAGCGATGGCTGCTTGGGAGGAGCACCTGGGCCCCTGGTGCCCTGCCCTGCCCGCCCAGCCGCCTGCACTTCTACTGCGGCCATTTCCCCACGGCTCCGGGGGCCACTCACACCAGCTCTGACCAGGCCTTACTTCCCGGGCCAGGTGGCTCTGCCTCTGGGGAGAGTGAGCTCAGACAGCCCCCAGCTCATCACACAGCAGGCGAGGGAGCACAGAGGGCCGTATCCCTTTGCCATCCTTTGGTTTATAAGCCTAAAACGATCTCAAAATGGCACCTCTGGGGAAAGGCCTCGTTTGTGATTATCTAAGGTATGGTCTGATGACTGCAGGCATGCCTCACAGGGTGTGAAGCTCTAAGGGGATTTAAAAACCTTCAATCACTGTCCCTCAACAGACAAATGGATAAGGAAGATGTGGCATAAATACACAATGGAGTATTAGCCACAAACAAGGATGAGATCTTGCCTCATGTGACAACATGGATGGCCCTAGAAGGTATTGTGCCAACTGAAATACGTCAGAGAAAGGCAAATACCATACGATCTCACTTGTATGTGGAATTTAAAAAAAACAGAAACAAACAAAGCCGGATCAAACCTATAAAATCAGAGCACAAACTGAAGGTTGCTGGGGCAAGGGTGGTGGGGTTGGGGGTGGGCAAAATGGGAAGGGGAGAGGGAGGTCCAGGCTTCCAGTCAGGGAAAGAAGACGACACAGGAAAAGGTTCAGCATGGGGAATACAGTCGATGGTACTGGAACAGTGTGTGGGGACAGATGGTGGCTACACTTGAGGTGCACACAGGGTCACGTAGAGACTTGCTCAATCACTGAGTTGTGCGTCTGAAGCCACCGCACGCCGTGTGTCCCCTGGACTTCAATCGGAAGGAGTGAGCTTGCAATCGCCCAGACGTTTGTGTGTCTGGCTGGCTCCCAAGGAGCTCCCAGACTGGCCTTCCTGCTCAGCCCCAGGGCGCCCGAGCTCCCACAGCACTGATTTTCAGATCCAATCATTCCTGTCTGAGGAACCTCAGCAACGCGTCGGCGTGCCTGAGGAAGACTGTGCCGGGACACGGCGCCTGCCTACTCACCTCTCCCTGCACTGGCTCACCCCACCCCCAAGTCTCTGGCAACTCCCACAGGAGTGCTCGCGCTTTCCTGGCCTGCTCGCCTTGGCGTACGTGTCCTCTCTGCTTTGCCTGGCCGACCCTTACTCGGTTCCACCAGGCCCCCTGAGCGCAGGGCCCCGGGCACTGTACCCTCTCCCGTCGCCGTGCTACCACCTGCCACGCAGCTGGCGCCCAGAAGCACCCGCGGCCCGGAAGAACCGCTCACACAGGACACCGACTACATTCACGTGCATTTAGGAGCTTGCATCCTTTCATGGAATCAAAACTACACTCCCCGTCCCTTAGAACTTTTCCCCAAAGGAAACACTGGCAAGCTTTCTTTCAGCCAATCACCTATCTAAAGCTCGGACATCGCTATGAAGTTTTACTATGTTCAGCCTAGAGATGAGAAAGTCTGCTACAGTTCTGGGACGGAGGAGAATGAAGACCAAGACCGGGTTTACTGGTACCACTGGTAGACAGCTAGTTCAACCTGTGTGTGTGTCAGGGCGGGGACACAATGCCAGTCCGAATGCAGTGCGAGTCATGTGCAGGAGGAGCAGGGAGGAGACGCCGGGGGGCGGTTTTCCTGGGACTGCTGACCCTGCACCGTTTACTCCCAGTACCTCCTTCCACTCTCGCACGTCCCTGCTGAAACCATACACAGTCAGGCCAAGCTGCCACCCAAACAGGCCCAGCCGGGCTGCTCCCCCTTCCCCAGCCTCTCTGCCCGGCACGCTGTGACCCTGTGCGCCTGCCACAAGCAGGACGTGAGCAGATGTTCTCAGGCTCCGGGGAACTTCCGAAAAGAGACGTGACGTCCATTCCGTTAACCTGACCACTGACTGGGTGTGGCTTTGGCCACGTGTTCTTAAGTAAACCAGGTACAATTTCAAGTAAAATTTAAGACTCACAAAGACCTAAAAATTGTGGAAGATGGCAATGTGCGGGGAGTCGCACGTCTAAGTTCGAATCCTACTTTATAGCGGATAACGCACAGGTCTCTGTTAGACTCAACTGTGCATTCCTGTTCAGCAAAGAAACCACAAGAAACCATCCCGAGCATCATGTTCATCTCACCTGGGGTGTACCTGGCGTCAGAATTCCCCCATCCTCCACCTACACGAAGGGGAGAGTTATCCCACGTAGACAAGGGTGGCTTCTGACCAGTCAGTCCCGGAGGTGGGCGGGACGGAGCAGTGATGTTTTTAGGTGGTAAAGGGACCTTCCACAGCTCATGAGCCAGAGAGGTGTTTGTAACTGAACCAGGAGACCATGTCAATTTGGAATCACTATTTCTGGCTACTCACAGGGAAAAAACACAGCGGGGGGTGGGGGGGGAGATAATGCTTTTAGCAAAGAGAAAATTTAAATAACGTCAGCACCCATTCTCCCCCAAAAAGAAACTCTTAATATTAAAAGTCCCCAACTCAAACTGCCAAAAAAAACCCCACAAAAGCCAAAAGGAAGCTGCTCCCTTGACTCTGAAAACACTCAAACTATTGGTCTATTAACAATTTCAAGACTTATGAAATTTTTAGCCCCGTGTACAAAACTATACCGCAACCAAAATCAAAACAAAAAACACTGCTTTCAATCGCTCTAAAACAGCAACTGGGAACTCCTTACCTTTATGACCATAACTGAGTCACTCGAGATCGTCACATAGGTCATTAAATAGATTTTAGAACTCTCTGGTTTACACATAGGAAAAAGGACCACAAAAGTAGCCCCAACTCAGGGAGTCCTCACAGCCGACGTTCCCTGGGCACCTCTCTGTGCCGAGCGGCACTTGGTGCAGACTAGCTCTAGTCCTGACACACATCCTACCGAGGTCTGAGAGGTTAACAACCTGCCTATGGGTCCTGTGCACAGCCGGGATTCAACCCCAGGCCTGTCTGGCTTTAAAAAAAAAAAAAAAGGAGGAGGAGGAGAAAGCTCACTTCCTGAGAGCGCTGCCTCACGGCAATGCGGGTGTGCGGGCACAAGGTAAACTCGTTCAAAATAATCCCACAAAACCATGAGGGGGCAGAAGTGGATGGAAAATTTTGTGACTTCTGTCACTGTTCACTGTTTCTACTTGATTCATAAAGTGAACATCCGTTAAGTCAGTGAGACTCAGAGTGGTGGGAAGCCTGGTCACTACACGGGCTCTCACTGGTCTCTGACAGAACAAGCACAGAAATGCAGAGCGAGCGTTCATAAGCGGACAGCAACCAGACATGGCCACAGCTCCCACGTATGATCGCTTTTCCAGCAAGTCCAAGGTCAGGTTTGCTACACTCTACAGAACTATCAGTCTGCAAAGGATTAGAAATTACAAAAATAAAAGCTGCCTCATTTGAGAATTGCTTCGAATGAAGCTGCATTTAACAAGCTGGCTCTCAGACGAGAGAGTGAGAGTGGCTCAGGGAAAGGGGACGGTTTTAGAAATGACTGCTGGGTCTAGTCAATTTTAGAAAGGGACAAATGGTGTTACAAGTCTTTTCTCAGGTTCAGAAATACACCCTCCTACCTCCCCGAGAAGACTTCAGATAAAGAGAAGACTTCCCCACAACAGCCCAGCCCCAGGTGGTGAGTACCCTGTTCCTCTGACAGGGCCTCGGCAAGCCCAGGATGAGGCCCACCTGAAGTGCTTTGTGCTGTACTGCTGAGGGGAACGTTGTAGTTGGAGGCACGAATGGATGACCAGGCACTAGTTGAAGGCAGCGTGGTGTTCAAGGATGAGGATGACCCTATGTGGGGGAAGAGCCCAGTTAGTCATCCCCAGAGCAAGGGGCACGGCGCTTGAAGAATAAGCAGAAGCTTCCAGTGAGGCTGTAGTACCAGGAGAAAGGAAACGGGCGCTGGGGTCCCGGGACGGTGCCCACGACTGCACCTTCCTTCCTGCCTTCACGACAGCGCGCCCAGTGAGCCTGCTCACTGTTCTGACCGTGGCTCAGTGAGGTAGCTTCCCTCCTCTGCCTGACACTCTGGCTCTGTGTCCCACTTTGGGCTCTCAAAGGAGGGCTAGGTCCTCTTGCCCCCAAACCCCCGACTGAACTCCAGTGACTTCTGAAACTGACCCTTACGTCACTCCTCCCCCCGGGGCACCCTGGCACCAGCAGGCCCCCACCCTCCATCATGCCCCACAGCCGCCTCCCAAACCTAGGCTTCCCCCTATGTTCGAAACCCCCGACTACTGGGCCCCACTCCAGGATGGACTGTCGTCTGGATCTGTAATAACTCCGACCTGGCCTCCTACTCCATCCCTTCAATGGTTCGTGTCTTCTAACATCAAATCTAAACTCCTCTCCTGACTAACAATCTTCCACAAACAAGAAGCCCGTTTCTGCAAGCTGCCAGATTCTTCCAGTAACTACATACAAGGCTGGGAGGCTCTCCCCTTGGCTCTGTCCCCGCTATTCTGCTGGGACAGTGACGGGTACTTTAACTACTTCTACACAGTGGTCTGTTAAATTCAGCCATTTTAGAATGAGGATTCTTTCCTGACCATGTGATATGGCAAACACCTGTTAACAGAATCATATACTTAACGTAAAATGCTGTTCTATGTCTTGTTATCAACTGTTTAGAGGAATAGGAGGATGTAGGTTTAGAACGGAAACAAAGGATTTTCTTTCACTCCCTTCACCTTCCTTCAGGTGCATGCAGAGAATACTTAAATGACTGGGGTGAGGGAAAACTATATGGTAGGTGGTAGGATGACTGTGTTTGATAACCCTTTAAAAAGTGCATCTGAACTGGACCCTTCAATTGGTCTTAATTTACATTTTCGGAGAGACAAAGAAAGCTAAATTGCTTCCTCACACGAAAGTTCCTTAACAAGAGTGTATAAATGAATGATAATATAACATCTTTTATATGAAACACCCATTTCTTGATAATCACAACACTGAAACTTGTTATAAAGTAGGCAACAACCTTTCAGTTGCTACTACAATTCCTGGAAAGCAAATATTTGTTGGTCCTTTGTGTTAAGTGAATATATGTTTACTGTATCAAATGATAATAAATCCTCATCATTTTTAAAGTGGCAAAGAACCACCTATGGGAAAATTGAGAATTCACTTTTTATTTTCATGACTCCCTTGGATGTCAGATGCTGTGATGGGCTGAAAGTATCACATCCTCTGTGAACCATTCTTAAACTTTAGTGTCATCCGGCATCATTCAGAAATTCTGTCTTGTACCCGCCTACGTACCACTGTTCCTGTCCCTGAGGTGGTCAACTTCCCGCACAGTATTAATTGAAAGATTGTTTATGACACTGCCAGGAGTGACGTAAGGGTCAGTTTCAGGGTCAATGTTTGGATAACCTTTCCATGGTTCACCAGGGCGAAATTCTGGAAACAAAAACTTAAAATTAGTTCAAGCTTAATTATCACTTAAAGATCCATTATTAAATAAGCAAAACTTGTATTCCTAAAGCTTATGCAATTCTCAAATATTTTCCAGTTAATACTAGCATCTAAGAGACTGATTCAGTACTACTATTAGTGTAATGTAAGCTGCTATTTATGAATAACCTGCGTATTTTTGCAAATGAAATAATTTCTCGGGTTTATATATTTCTAAACAGTAACATTTTACTTTTTGAATTTATTTTTTTTATTTTTAAAAGATTTTATTTGAGGGGCGCCTGGGTGGCTCAGTCGTTAAGCGTCTGCCTTCGGCTCAGGTCATGATCTCAGGGTCCTGGGATTGAGCCCTGCATTGGGCTCCTTCCTCAGTGGGAAGCCTGCTTCTCCCTCTCCCTCTGCTTCTCCCCCTGCTTGTGTTCCCTCTCTCGCTGTGTCTCTGTCAAATAAATAAATAAAATCTTAAAAAAAAAAAAAAAAAAAGATTTTATTTGACAGAGAGAGAGAGAGCAAGCACATGAGGATGAGCATGGGGAAAAGCAAGGGGAGAGGGAGAAGCAGACTCCCTGCCAAGCAGGGAGCCCAATGTGGGACGCGATCCCAGGACCCTGAGATCATGACCTGAGCCAAAGGCAGACGCTCAACCGACTGAGCCACTCAGGCTCCCCAAAAATAGAATCTTAAAAATAATAATAATAAGGGTGCCTGGGAGGCTCGGTTGGTTGAGTGCCTGCCTTCCGCTCAGGTTATGATCTTGGATCTCGGGGTCCTGGGATCAAACCCCACATTGGGCTTCCTGCTCAGCGGGGAGTCAGCTTCTCTATCTCCCTCTGTCCTTCCCCCTGCTCGTGCTCTCTCTCTCTCACACTCTCTCAAATAAATAAAATCTTAAAAAAAAAAAAAAGATTTTAAAGTGATCTCTATACCCAATGTGAGGCTCAAACTTACAACCCCGAGATCAAGAGTTGCGTGCTCTATGGGCTGAGCCAGCCAGGCGCCCCTAAACGGTAACATTTTAAAGTGCTTTATTAAATCACAAGCCATAGCAAAGCAAACAGAAAAGAAGGCCGTAAGTCCATTCCTGGTAATGCTTCAGTCCAGATGAAACACCGTCTAGTCCGTCCCCTGGTGCAGATGAAGAGGAACCCGGAACAAAGGTTGTATTTTATTCCTCACAATGGCCGGTGGGACTCCCTCCCCCTTCACTGACTGGAGCATAAAGGCACTACTAACAGGCCAGACTGGCTCCTCTGCCTGAGCCCTGACGCTCAGCTTTCCGTGCATCCTGTGTGCATCCTTCCCACCCCTGGCAGAGCTCAGGCCGGTCCGCCCAAACGGGCCTACATCACTAGCTCATCTAGCGGTAATGACACCTAAAGGAAGCAGAGCCTCATGAAAGAAGCGGTCAGCACTTTACCTGGTGGCCAGTTAACACTGCTAGAGCCGTTAGGCGATTTGGCACGTGGCCAGCCATCTCCTATTGAACCCGGAGGGCTGGCTGGAGAAGTACTGCTGTTCATAAAGTCATAGGGAACAAATGGAGACTCTTCCAGCCTGAAACCACTTGAAATAGCACCTAAAGAGAGAAAAAATGATAGTGAATGTGAGGCAAAATACATGAGTGAATTTATTTCTTGTAGTTTCTCAAATATCACCAGGATACCCTGTATGAGATCTGTGGGTTCCAAACTGCGTCCTGTAGACAGTGTGAAAAGTCGAGGAGGAGAGCAAGCTCTGAACTCTTCCAGACGTCAATCACTTTTAACTCTCTTACGTCCTGAGATCTAAACATTATCATAGTGAATTTTATTTCAAGGAGGATAAGAAGGACCATAATCATCAATAAGTGAACAGAGTATGGGCCCCAGTTTATTTCCGAATCATTAAAACACCTGTATTTTGCGTGTGTTGTTGGTGAATGAGGAGCACCAGGGGGATGAAATACAGCAACGGTAAAGAAGGAATTGTGGTGGAGAACGTTGTAAGTGGCAGAGAGGTATACCCAGGAATCCAGGAAATGGCTCTGACCCCTGTATGTAATGAAAACAAATAACCTTTTCGATCAGGAGGTTTACATTTCTACCTATACACACCCCCTTATGATTATACACAGCATCAGTAAAGATACCTGTTATCCAAATGAGTGTGAAATCCCACAAAAAGACAACTTATTTTCACTTAGAAATGGTCATTTGTTTTCCGGCGATTTATTCTCCACACTCATCTTCGAACACATCTTAAAATGACTAATGCTTGACACACGCAGCAAGCACACCCCTCCCTCAGTGGACCGGCTCCGGCAGCCACGCTAAGTGCTGGCCCCGGGAAGGCGAGCGGACGACGGGGCAGGCCCTCCCCACAGCCCGGGGAGCGGGCCGAGCACGGACAGGACAACAGAAGGGGTGGGGGGGCCGCGCCAGCGTGAAAAAAGGGTCCAGGGAGGAGATGCCAGGCAGTGGACACAGCCTGCACAAAGACCCGAGGAGAAAAGCAGCTTGGCCTGTGTGAGGAACGGAAAGGCTGTTTTGTCTGAAAAGCAGTCAGCGGGAGAGTGAAGAACATGACAGCGTTGCAGGGATGACCTGGTAGGTCCCGAGGTGAGGAGTGCCTGCTCCCGCTGCCCTTGGCCCTGCCTGTCCCCTGAAGGCATCAGATTTTGCAACACCCTCATGCGGGGCTTTGCAGGACACAGCAAGGGCTGTAAGAAGAGAAGTGAGACAACCTGATTCGTCTGAGGTCCCTGCTGCTGGCGTGTGGGGAACGGAAGCAGGGGGGCCAAAACCACGGGGCGGCTGCTGAGGCAGCGAGGTGCTACGGATGCTCGGACTGTGCATTTTGGAAGGAGAATGGGCACTATTCACAGATGGACTGATGTGGAGGTTGGAGAAAGGAAGAAATCGAGAACATCTTACACCCAGACAGGCAGCACGGGATGGATGGATAAACCAAATGCGGCATCATTCAACACAACTGTAAAAGGAATGAGCGCTAATGCACATTTCAACACAGATGAACCTTGAAAACATGCCCCCAAAAGGCCAGTCACACAGGACTGGGTAATACATGCTTCCACTGACGTGAGCAGTCCAGCAAAGCAAAGCCACAGAAAATAGACTTGTGTTTCTGCATGGCTAGGAGGGAAGGGAAGTCCGGGAGGGGCGAGGAGCAACCCCTCAGGGACTCTTCTGGGACCGGGGAAACGTTCGACTCCCGTGACTCAGAGTATACCAAAAGCCACCGAATGGTACACTGTATCAAGAGAATTGTATTATATGTAAATTATATGTATTTTAAGTAAATAAACTTACGAGAGAGAGAGAGAGAGAGAGAGGATCTCTCTCAAGCTTCTAGCTTCAATAACCCGATAGAAGGAGGCACACTTGTTAGCTGAGGAGGAACCAGGGTGAAGAGGAAAACCAAACACCCACCCACTCGTGCCAGCTTTGACGCAGGTCTGAGGAAAAGCCCTGGTCATAGATGCTGTGAGCGCCTGGAGAAATACAGCAGAGCCCTGAATGTTGCTTTAGCCTCATTTACACAGTGACCAAGATTCCCCTGGAAGCAGTCACAACACCCAAGCTTCTGTATCAGTGATTCGGGGGCAGAGCCGGGCTGATGGGACCTCAGGGCACCATCACTGGTGGGCACTAACCCATCCGTGACTAGGCCTAGTTATTCCACCAATTCCAACCCCTCTCTTCTCTGGCTTCCTTATCTAGTTACTTTTATCTGAGTGAACTGTGTAGCTTTTCTGTAAAGTGAATTAAAACCACTTGGGAGCTCAGTGGTATGAATAAAGTAGCAGTTGCAAGCAATACAGTAAGCGAGCATAGATGCCACATTTTAAGTGATTAATTCTACTGTAAGAACCTGAGCTGATAGAAGTATTCCTCCCTTTCAGTACAAAAAATCCATTTCTACTTATTAAAACTTGATTTTATTAAAAAGGAAAATAGGCTTGACCCAGAGGCAGCTATGATCCAATCATATTCTATTAACCACTGCATGGGAGAAGGTACGGAAAATGGAAGGTACGTTTGTCCAGGTGGCAGGTATAGCTGGATGCAAGCAGGCTGGATTTGCATGGACACACACTGTTCTTAGAAGCAGGCGTGGGGGGGAGCCAACAGTGGAGGCAGCAACAGTAAGGAAGCCCCCACCGACGGGCCACTTAGTGTCTTACTTTGTCCTAGTGCGTCAGTGTCACACGCCTCATTCATCCTCGAACGTCACAGGAGGTACTATATTATACTCCCATTTAGCAGATAAAGGTTAAATTACTTGACCGTAGCTACTAAGCAGCACAGCAAGCTCTCAAATCCAGGGTCTGTATTTATTTTGCCATTTTGTTAGCCGAGTCAACTACCATTCCCACTTTTTTTTTTTTTTAAGATTTTATTTATTTATGTGAGAGAGAGAGAGAGGGCGAGCACAAGCAGGGGGAGGAGCAGAGGGAGAGGCAGGCTCGCCACTGAGCAAGGAGCCCAATGTGGGACTTGATCCCAGGGCCCAGGGATCATGATCTGCCGAAGGCAGACGCCCAACCAACTGAGCCACCCAGGTGTCCCTACAATTCCCACTCTTAAGAAAAATTCCAGGGGCACCTGGGTGGCTCAGTTGTTAAGCGTCCGCCTTCAGCTCGGGTCATGATCCCGAGGTCCTGGGATCGAGCCCCACATCAGGCTCTCTGCTCCGCAGGAAGCCTGCTTCTCCCTCTCCCGCTCCCCCTGCTTGTGTTCCCTCTCTCGCTGTGTCTCTCTCTGTCAAATAAATTTTTTTAAAAAATCATAAAAAAAAAGAAAAATTCCAAATGTGATGTGCCACTGAGTGGCAAATTCAACTTAGAATTCAGGTCTGTTTGATTTAGGGTCCAATGTTCTTTCTACCACATGTCAATTTCACCTTCAATTTCCGATAATCATTAGTCCAATGTTCACAAACCAGCAAACTGACCTTTAAGCCAAGTTTAGTCAAATAAAGTTTCAGGATAAAATCCAACAGAGAGGAATGAACGTCACAAAAATGTCCTTTTGGTATTAATCAGAGGAACAGATGTTGCTTAAGTTTGAAAGTAGAGAGGCTCTTCTGGCTCCCCTCCCATTATCTTAAATCACTAAGTCCTATCAGTTCTGCTTCCTACAGTTGTTTTGTTTTGTTTTTTGGCACAACTGTAAAGATTTCTAAATTATTTTGTTTTCGGTCCCTTGTCTGCAGCCAAGAGTTGGATTTTGCTTTATGATTCAATGTGAATTTCTTTTTTTTAATAAATTAGTTCAGCCCATTTACATTTATCAATTTGACGTATATTTGGTCCCAGTTTCTCATTATTTTATGTGATGCTTTTTATTTCTTTGCAGATTCTTTAAAAACTCTTTGAAAATGTGGTATCTGTTTCTATCTTTTCTGAAAATGTGGAGGGCTTCTATTTTTGTTTTAGTGGGTGTCTTTTTAACTTGTTTAATCTTGTCTTCAAAAAATTTTTACTGGGGCGCCTGGGTGGCTCAGTTGGTTAAGCGACTGCCTTCGGCTCAGGTCGTGATCCTGGAGTCCCGGGATCGAGTCCCGCATCGGGCTCCCTGCTCGGCGGGGAACCTGCTTCTCCCTCTGACCCTCCCCCCTCTCGTGTACTCGCTCTCTCTCATTCTCTCTCTCAAATAAATAAAATCTTAAAAAAAATTTTTTTTTTACTGAAATATAGCTGACATAGAACACTGTATTAGTTTCAAGTGTACAACATGATGATTGGGTATTTGTATATACTGCGAAATGAAGGCACAGTTCTTGATGGCAGAGCACTGCTACACTGGGTCAGGCTACAGTCGTCTCCCTCCACTCCCCAGGTGGCCACACTGCAGCCAGAGTAATCCCCAAACACACATCACGCCACTTCTGGCCTAATACCCTGCAACAGTGAGCCCTCCAGGACAGAGGGGCTAACACTCTAAAAGTCTTCATACTCCACACCACCCCTGGAGTCCCCTCCCATCACCTCTGCTTGGCTAACTCCTGTTATCTTTCGTATCTCAGCTTAAGAGATCACAGGCCTTCTGGAATCCATGCCCTCAACCCTAAGACTGAAATATTCCTCTATATATGCGCCCCCTCCCCAGAACACTGTGCTGGGTGCTGGCTTACAAGGGAAAAGGTTTTTTTTTTTTTTTTTAAAGATTTTATTTATTTATTCATGAGAGACAGAGAGAGAGAGAGAAAGGCAGAGGGAGAAGCAGGCTCCCAAGGAGCAGGGAGCCCGATGTGGGACCCGATCCCAGGACCCTGGGATCATGACCTGAGCCGAAGGCAGACGCTCAACCATCTGAGCCACCCAGGCGCCCAAGGGAAAAGGTTTTATAAACAGCCTTCTAGTCACAGAATCTTAAGACCAAAAAGCATCGCAAATAACAGTCCAAGCCTTCTGTGACGCACAATTTCCTGGTCAGATGTCCTTGCCTCTATTCCACCTTACTTTCCTTAACAAATCTGGCTTTTCTTATTCTGGAGGGTGCGCAGTAAAGGGCTAGCACAGTAGGCCCGGCATACATACTGTGAAGCGCTTCAGGCCTGGCCCTCAACCACTCCTGGGCTTCTCCAAGCCCACGAACATCCCACAGGTCTAAGAGCACCTCTGCAGACCCTGGGCCTCAGCCAGGCCGGACAGTTTATGGCAACATGACTTCTGGTGAACGCCTGTTTTTGTTTGCTTGAGGCCTGGGTCATACTGTGTTTATGTCTGATCTCTGAGAGGTCTGCAGGGGCTTGGGGATTGAGTCATGCAGGTGTCTGATGCCTATGTGACTGTCCCCCAGTAAAAACCCTGGACACCAAGGCTTGGGGGAGCTTCTCTGGCTGGCAATACTTTGTATGTGGTTTCACACATCGTTTCTGGAGAAATTAGGTCTGTGAAACTCCACTGGGAGAGGACAATAGGAAACTTCTCCTGGACTGTGCCCTATGTGCCTTTTTCCACTGCTGATTTTCATCTGATTCTTCTGCTGTAATAAACCATAACCATGAGTATTACAGCTTTTCTGAGTTCGGTCAATTCTTCTGGCAAATCACTGAACTTGAAAGTGGTCTTGGGGACCTCTGACACAGAAGGTCTCCTGCATTTGCCCTTTCTTCCCTGCTCCACAGTTAACTTAGTAGCTCTCTAAGCTTCACTAAATGGTGATAAAAAGAGAACCCACCTAAGACTATACTGCAAGTGGTCAGTGCCAGCCCGAGGCCTTCCCCGTAGGCCTCTCCCCTCCCCGGGCTCAGCTTAGGTCTGGTGTGAGCCTGAAGAGCACTATCACACCGCCCCTGACAAAGACCTCTAAACTGCTCCACACCGGAGGACAACAGACCCCTTCTCTACGACAGGGAAACACAAACGCCAACAAGCCCACTCGGGGTTTATAAAGAAGTGAAGGAGGCTGGCTACAAGCAAATCCCACGGTCCTTCCCCAAACAGAAGCATGCTATAGGCAAATATTTCTCTGGTTAGGGACCATAAGAAAATCTCTCTCCACCAGTGGAGGGGAGGGCACTGGTGTGAGGGGAGTGAGAAGAGAAATGAAATATAACAAACCACACTCCCCAGTAAGTGCAAAGGCAAATGGCAAATGACGCCATCACTGAGTTGAGTACAGAAGACAACGGGAAGGGGCAACGAGCCGCAAGCACAGGGACCGCAGCTGCTCCGCTCTGGGTGCTTCCTGCTTCGGAGCTCGGTGCTGCCAGACCCCCGTATTTCCAAAGAGATGCCAGAAGTCTGAGTCTGTACATGAAAGTTCCTGCATGTTTACATAGATGTTGGTTCAAAAAGATGACTTTCAAAATAGTGACGGTCTAACAAAACATCAGTTATGGGCTGGCAGCTTTGGGAGCTCTCCTGAATACAGCTAGATGTGAATTTTATTTTTGTAAGGGAATCTATGCCAAAGTATAAGGGACAGGATGATCAACATTTCTCTCTCTCTCTTTTTAATGTAAGGAAAAGGGAAAACAAAGCCAACAAATAAAAAGAATGTGCCTGAGAAGCTTCTAAGTCTGCCAGGAGAGAGAATAAGAGGAGGAGGAGCTACTGATCAAGGAGGAGCATTTCTGGGAGGAAGTGAGAGTATGAGCAGCAAGCAAGCAAGCACAAGCAGGGGAAGGACAGTGGGAGAGAGGATCTCACGCAGACTCCACGCTGAGCGCAGAGACTGACATGGGGCTTGATCCCACAACCCTGAGATCATGACCTGAGCCGAAAATCAGGAGTCGGATACTTAACTGAGTCACCCAGGTGTCCCAGAAAAATAATTTTAAAAAACAAAGAGAGGGGCACCTGGGTGGCTCAGCCATTAAGCATCTGCCTTCAGCTCAGGTCATGATCCCAGGGTCCTGGGATTGAGCCCTACATCGGGCTCCCTGCTCCGCGGGAGACCTGCTTCTTCCTCTCCCACTCCCTCTGCTTGTGTTCCCTCTCTCGCTATGTCTCTGTCAAATAAGTAGATAAAATCTTTAAAAACAAACAAATAAAAAAACCAAAGAGAAAAAATGACTAAGTTTCTTTCTTTTGTTTTTTTAAAGATTTATATTTATTTATTTGGCAGAGAGAGAAAGAGCGAGCACGCGTGCACAAGCAGGGGGGAGAGCAGAGGGAGAGGAAGAAGCAGGCTCCCTGGCTGAGCAGGGAGCCCGATGTGGGGCTCGATCCCAGGGCCCCGGGATCATGACCTGAGCTGAAGGCAGACACTTAACCGACTAAGCCGCCCAGGCGCCCAAGAATGACTAAGTTTCAAGTGTCAAATTAAGTACATGAAGAATAGTGGGGGGGGGGGGAGGGGGGAGAATGGGAGGGATCTAGACTGAAGTAAAAAAAAAAAAAAAAGTATCGACCTCTTCCTTCCTATTCTGAAGAGAAGAACATTCCTAGAATATTCACTGGATTGCTATGTATATAAGAACAAAGATATTTAATGTTTAAGCTAATTACTAAAAACAATTTACTGCTCACACTACAGATCTGTGCAAAAGAAAACAGTGTATGCAATAAAATTCAGTGAAAAAATGATCGCTATTAAGTTTAAAAAAGACTTTTAAGTGGGAATGGGGATGTTACCTGACTCCAAAACCTACGCTGCCCGAGAACCCCTTGTATATGACACGCTATCCGCCAGGACGCCAAACACCAGAGAACGTATGAGGGACGGTGCACCTGCCACAGCAGTGCAAGGAAGGGAAGAGGCAGGTCATTTTTACAAAGAAACTGAGGCTCAGATAAGCAAGGCAGACATAGAAATAATCCATTTTAACTCGAGCAGACAGAAAACCACACGGTAGAAGCATTTTCTTAGCTCTCCACATCTGACCTCTCCAGATGCTCCTTTCACCACTAGCGGCTCTGGGATGCTGTCCTTGTTCTCTTCTAGGCTCTGTCCCTCTGGGCAACCTCACCTATGCCCTTGACTTCAACATTCTGATGAATACCAAACCTTACTCTACTCAGATTTTTCTTCTGAGTGCTAGCCTCTATTCCTAATGTCTTACTGGGCTTTTCCATGTTGTGCCATCCCCAAAATACTTCACTCAACAAGCCTAAAATCAATTCAGTAACTGTCCCACCACGCCTGCTTTGATTCCCCTATTTCTACCCCCACTACCTGCACTCCCGAGCTCGCACGCTCCCCGCCCCGAGAATGCTCACAGTGCCACAGCGTGCTCAATGGAGAGACCAGGCAAGCGCAGGTACATCACGGATGATCATGTGTTCGCCCAAGGAGTTATTAGGTTACTTACCCAGCCCTCCTGTCCTTAATTCTAAGACTCTTTCTGGTGCACTCCCTCCATGTCCACTGCCTTCTGTCTCACACTGCTTTGAGTCTTTTGTGCCTCTGGATAACCACCACTTTCAAATTTAAAATGATTGATGGCATAAAGTTGTCTGCAATTTGCTCCACACCTACTATGGTAGCTTTGCCTTCCTCCTCCTTCCTCTCTAACCCCTTCACCTTTGTGATAGGCCCACACAACAGAACCCACCAGGCTGTCCTGTTTTTGAACTTTTCAAATGCTATATACTCTTTGTTACTCTTTCTCTAGTTCTTTGTGTGGTAAAGCCTTCCACACCTACCACACTCACAGTTCCTCATTCCTGACTCAATCTTCCAATGGACTTCACGTTATCATACTACTTGTACCATAATATGGATTCACGTTTATAGCACCTATCACAGCGTACTAAAGCTGTTCACATGCTTATTTTTGCGACCAAAAGATGAGTTCCTTCAGGGTAAGTCTTTTTCCTGGCTTACATATGCTCGACTGTGTGCATGCATGTCCGTATGTATCTATGTATTCCAGGTGGCCTAGCACAGTCCTTGGAAAGCAAGACGATAGTCCAACATCTGCTAGATGAACTGATAATAATAAATAAGATGAAAAGGTTTCTGAAAAAATTAATGTATGAGAAAACAATAATATTGAACCTATATAATTTATACATAGCAACAAAATGTATGAAGAAAATGTGCCATTATACAAAAAACTGGCAGAAATCAAATTATGCTTGGAGTTGTTTTTTTTTTAAAGATTTTATTTATTTTTTAGAGAGCGAGCGAGAGAGAAACAGCATGAGAGGGGCGAGGGTCAGAGGGAGAAGCAGGCTCCCCGCTGAGCCGGGAGCCTGATGTGGGACTCGATCCCAGGATCCTGGGATCATGACCTGAGCCGAAGGCAGACGCCCAACCATCTGAGCCACCCAGGCGCCCTATGCTTGGAGTTTTTAATACCCTCCCCATCATAGTAAATTGAGTAAATGTTAAGCAGAACAAATAAAATCAATTGCAAAAACCTAAATGACCATCAAAGGGGGAATAATTTTTAAAACACAAATGTATATTCAATCTTTACTTTGTGCAGTAGTGTAATAAAGGTTAATTTTGCTTTTTGATTTTAACTAAGATTTAATAACTAATACAGCATTTTTTAATAACAAGGAAAGGTTCTAAGAGGATTTGGCTACGAAAAGACATGTAAAATAAAACAAAGGCCTAGGGGCGCCTGGGTGGCTCAGTCGGTTAAGGATCCGACTCTTGATTTCAGAGTCATGAGATTGAGCCGGGCTCTGCAGGCGGTGTGGAGCCTGCTTAAAATTCTCTCTCCTTCTGCCCCTCCCCACCATCCCCCCAAAACCAAACGAATAAGTAATAAATAAAATAAAACAAAGGCCTAAATTTAGTATTCTACAGGCTTTTTTTTTTTTTAAAGTGCAACATGGAAGAATGTATTTCCTACCATGTTTGCTGGAGTTTTGATCCAAAGATGTGTTCACAGAAATGCTGTCCACTGTAGTCCACTTCCTTAGTCTTGACTGTGGCTCTTTAATACTGTTCATATCCATATTTACATTCAAGTTAGAGTTCAAGCCTAAAAATAAAACAATACTTTAATAGAAAAACCACTTTATAAAATATAGTTGTCTGTGATTTGCTCCACACCTACTATTATAGCTTTGCTTTCCTCCTCCTTCCTTCTGATACCACAACTTCCATTTTCTAGAAAAGCACATGTAACTAATGTGTTTTCAATCCTGTGAATGTTCCTTAATAAATACCACCCTGCATATGTGGCACAGCCAAATGATTACAGACAAAGGCAAGGCAGGCAGAACAGACACTCTGGGCCCCTGGCCAAGGTTGTGCAGAAATAACATCAAGAGAGAGCCATGGCTACATTATGAGAGAGAGCAACAAACAGAAATCCTAAACAGCTATTCTAATATTCAATAACCCAATGTTTTCAAACCATAAAACTGTTAAAACCATAATTGCATCAACTGTGGTAAACTATTTCTCCTTATAATTTGGATTATTTTTAAATTCCTTGATAAAAGAAGAGATAATTTTAAAGTTTATCTCCGATAAAACAGATCTTTATTTTTTTAAAAAGACTTATTTATGTATTAGAGCAAGAGACTGTGTGCATGGGGGAGGGCGGGTGGGCGGGGCGGGGGGGCAGGGGGAGAGGGAGAGAATCTCAAGCAATCTCCATGCCTAGCGTGAAGCCCGACACGGGGCCCGATCTCACAGTCCTGAGATCATGACCTGAGCCAAAACCAAGAGTCAAGACACTCAACCAACTGAGCCACCCAGGTGCCCCTAAAATAGATCTCTTCAGCTTTCCCCCAAGAGCACCACGCATGAAGAAATATTTTATCTTTTGCTTGTATGTTATCTTTTGCTTGTAAACAACAATTTTCAACTGGCTGGCCAGACAAAAAACACTGTCATTTTAAAGTAAAAATGTCTTGCTCTAACAATTATACTTAATGGTGAGAAGACTCTCAAGGCACAATTTCCTTGAACTTTGCTGATGACCTACATCAAATTCAGATATTCTCTTGGAACAAGGATGCAAATTTCCATCTTAGATATTCTGGTCAGAAAACTGGCCGTTAAGCCAGGATAATCATCTGAGATGCTTGTTAAAAAAAAAAAAAAATAGTTCAGTGGGAACCAGAATCTTTGATTAATACACAGAGCCAGGTGGTTCTTATTCTAACATTTCAAAGCAAATGGTTTTAAATACTTGGGTTTCATGACAGTCCATGTGATATCAGGTCAGTCAAACTTAAAAACTTTAACAATGTGAATTCTCTAGTATCATCCCCATTTTTGGAGAGAACGATTACATTTACTGCTCTCTGGACTCCTCAACTACACCCAAGGCCTGGCAAATTTTTTTTCTGTGAACCTGGGAAGGTTCAGACAGTAACTATCTCAGGCTCTGTGGGCCACAAGGTCTCTCTATGCAACTCTGTTGTAGCAAAAAAGCTCCACAGAATAATACATTAACAAAAGAGCATGCCTGTGTACCAATAAAACTTTATTTACAAAACCAGGCAGCTGGCCAAATTTGGTCAACAGGCCCTAGGTTTGTCAATGCCTGATTCAGACAACCATGTGCGTTTGTGTGGGTTTGGCAAACTTCTTAACCAGGATGAAGTAGCTTTTTTTTTTTTTGTAAGATAGATAGAGATAGACTGATTTAGAGAGCAGGCACACATGTGTGCACATGTGAACACACGTAGGGGGAGGAGCTGAGGGGGTGGGAGAGGGAGGGGGAAAGAATCCCAAGCAGACTCTGTGCTGAGCACAGAGCCTGACATGGGGCTCAATCTCACCACCCTGAGATCATGACCTGAGCCAAAATCAAGAGTTGGACTGAGCCACCCAGGTACTCCTGGAAGAAGTATCTCTTGCTATAAAGCCAGTCAGAACAGGAGATCCCATTATTTAGAAACTTATCTCCTCACTGGCCTAATTTATATGTCTAGTATGCAAAGGGCAAGAGTCACTTCCCTTCACTGGTAAGATCACAATATCTCAGTGTACTTGAGTATTCTTTCACCACTCTACTATTGTCTCCGGGATCACCAGGTCACCAACAAATGGGTTCTAAGGTATTCACCTGCAGTGGTAACTGACAAGGGAACTCCTTCTAGAAACAGAGAGAGATTGCTAACAATCCCAAGGACTCCAAGTGCAACCTACATCCTAGCTGAGAGTCCACAGCAATACCAGGGAGAGCCAAATTGTGTATAGTCCAGCCAGAGTGAAGCAACAGCAGGCCCCAGGCCCTGCCCACAGCCCAGAACAAGCGAGCTAACTAACCATCTTAGACCCAGTTGAGCCAGCAACCAACCAAGCTGATTTACAAGAAACCACCGTTAAGGGAAAAGACAGAAAGAAAAAGCAAAATGAAGAGGGTGTGAACAATCAAGGCTCAAAAGAGAATCAAAGGCACAAGGAGAAAAGAGACCCAAAGAAGGAGAAAACATCCAGCCCTGAAATTTCCAGAGGGAATAAAAGCCTGGGGACAGAACGGATAAAGGGAAGAGGGAGCAACTGCCGGGGCAATCAGGGCAATCCTTCTCTTGCCTCGATTTTCTACATTCAAACCAAGACCATCCCTAAGTATGTAGGCGAGAATCACAATTCCAGGTTCCGAAAGCAGAGAAGTGACTGTTCCCAGCTGCTCCCGCAGAGCAGTGCGGCTCAGGGTGTCTTTGGCACGTGGTTTCTGATAACCCCCCCCCCTTCTACCCAACGATGAAGCTACCTGGGGCTTAAGAGCAACCTCATCTTTATTCTAACCCTCTGTGAAAGAGTTTTGGAAACAGTGTCATTTTCTTGCATGGAGAGAGGCCTTCCCCCAAGCAGGACGATGGGCTGAACCTGCAGGAGGCAAGGCAGCTCTCGGGGAGGAGTGGGTCCTGGGGCCCGCGTGGTTTTCCCGAGGCAACGGAACCGTGCTGCTCCTGGAGAAGACCCAGCAAGCCTGTGGCCCCTGAGCACCAGCTGAATGCTCAGGCAACGAGAAACCCACCTATTGGGAAGCTGCTGAAAGCGTTTATTGGTGATGGCCCTTTTTGCAGCTCGGGTGTAGTGTGGGGCATGACGTTCTCGAGGAAAGATTTCATGGCTGGCTGATGGAGTGGCTGCTGCTGAGACGGCGGGGTCTGCTGCTTCACCAACAGGCTGGGATCGAGTTGCCGGGACTGCTGCATCATCTGCTGTTGCACGCTAAGAGGTCGACCCTGGAAACAGCGAGATGATTGGGAAACCCGGTGGACAGCAAGGCTTCCCAGACAGCCACATATTCCCCCTCACTGCCGAATTCACCCCCTCCTCCTCAGCAGGAAGGCACACGGTCACCATATACCAGTTAATAGGACTTCTGGGCAAACAGGAGACTTAACAAACCACGTATTTCATTCTATTTTAATAAAGACATCTCGCGTCTCGTTACAATTCCACTGCACTGAGTTCCGGTTAAGGATGTCATCTACCTGCTGGTCTTGCTGCTGCCGGTTCCCAGAAGGCACGCTTCTCTGACTCTGGGCCCTTTGCTGCTGCGCTAACAATCGCTGGAGGGAAGAGGGCGAAAAGGCTGTCAGTGTCGCGGCGCCAGAGCGTGAGCTTCAGTTGACTGCAGCGGACGCCCGCACCCACGGCGCGGCCTCATCTGGCATCCCCTCTTCCTGGGCCTCCCTGGCCTCAAGCCCTTGTGCAATTCGGTCTCTTGTTCAATCTAAACTTGCGCTTCATCAGGGACATTTCCCCGCTCACCCTCCCCCCGCCCCCCCCCCCGCCCCGGCCGGGGGTGCTCTGGGGGTGCTCGCAGAGCATCCTGCCCTTGGAGTTCACCATCTGTCCTCACCGACAGACCGTAAGCTCCCTGGGGGCGACCGCACTGGCTCTGTTTGCTGCGACACTTCCAGCACACGGTAGACACTCAATACACATACAGTGACTCAGGCTGTTACTCTACTTACCTGTAACTGGGAGATCTGAGAAAGCTGGTTTAGTTGGGATAGCTGGTTCAGCATGGCTACCTGTTGAGGGCCAAAGAGCGGATTCAGGCCACCGTTGTTTGGTGCATACTTCAGCAATGAAACTGGAACCTTAGGATCACAACGGCAAGTTAATAATGTTGATCAAATAACTCAAAACTAACTAAATGTACAGTGTATTCTGAACTGTCCATAGAGCAATTAAATCTTTGCACTAGTACTTGGAGGGCTGGTTATGTTCTGTCTTCCTCTGCTTTATTATTGTTCATGTACACTTTCCTGAGTTAACTGAAAGGTGATGGGGTGAATCTTAAACCAGCCAATTTACTTTGCTATTGTCCTCCTCCCCTTAAGATGTTTTACGGAAAGTGGGGCGCCTGGGTGGCTCAGTTGGTTAAGCGACTGCCTTCGGCTCAGGTCATGATCCTGGAGTCCCGGGATCGAGTCCCGCATCGGGCTCCCTGCTCAGTGGGGAGTCTGCTTCTCCCTCTGACCCTCCCCCCTCTCATGCTCTCTCTATCTCATTCTCTCTCTCAAATAAATAAATAAAATCTTAAAAAAAAAAAAAAGTTTAAAGATGTTTTACGGAAGGTAATGGTAAATTTTAGGTTTCATTTAACTTGGACTCATTTTTTGTACCCTACCCACATCCTTCCGTAAGGACAGCTGATCCTGAATTAGCTGCATCTCAAAGACACAAGGATGAGCAATTAGCCACCTCATTCAAATATCAAGTTTTTGGGGCGCCTGGGTGGCTCAGATGGTTAAGCGTCTGCCTTCGGCTCAGGTCGTGATCCCAGGGTCCTGGGATTGAGTCCCGCATCGGGCTCCCTGCTCCTTGGGACCCTGCTTCTCCCTCTGCCTCTCTCTCTCTCTCTGTCTCTCATGAATAAATAAATAAAATTAAAAAAAAAAAAAACAAAAAAAACACAAATATCAAGTTTTTCCAGGTCAAGAGAAGAGAGTAGGGCGGGAGTGATTACCTGAGGGGAGAGTAATGGAGGAGGCACTTGAGCACGGAGATTAGGCTGAGATGAACTAAGAGGTTGTGCTGGAGGCTGCTGCATGCCCCGGGGTTGTGCTGCTGTGTTTCCAACACCAAACATACTGGGATTGCCATTCTACAAAACCAAGAAACAGCGACAGAATACCAGTGGAATTCTTTAGGGGCAGACATCGTAATACCACACTGTTTTATTGATTTAAACACAGTAACTACATGTAAGAGAGATTTCATTACTTATACAAATCATCAACAGAGAGCCTAAAATACACACGTGGACTTACCTGTCTAACAGAATTCAAGTTTTGCATACCCAGCCCTGCTATGGAGCCAAGGGCCTGGTTAGGTAGTGCACTATTTGAAGGGGGAAGCTTCATGCTTTGACTGGACATAAACTGCATGTTTTGGGATTCATCTGCTACAATGCCATCCTGAGTGGACAGACAGAAAGGTGTGCAACACCAGCCAAGCAAACAAGCAGAAGGGAGAAATCATTGCAGGAACAGAAGAGAAGTCACGTGACATTGCAGCACCAACAGGAAACGGGTAGAAAACAGAAGAGATCAGTGTTAATTCTAGAGTACATAAAAAGAACCAGACACATTTTACGGGATTAAGAAGAAAATACAAATGCAATCCCTATGCTAAACTGAAACATAAAGAGGAGAATGAACTACAAATCCAGTAATAGCACCAGATTACAGTACCTTATATTAAATGCCCTAAACAACTAACGAGAAAATTATGCTATTAAGTGTACTGTTTTATCAGCCACAGGGGTAAAACAAAACAAAACAAACAAATGACTTACCTTATCAAAGTAAGGGCTGCGCTCCATGGAAGACTCTTTGGAAATCTGAGGCCGAGAACCAGGGCCTTTCCCGACCGTTCGATTGTAATCACCAATATTTAGGCTATGTTTATCTATCTCCATTCGTTTGTCCTGTAACATTCCTAAGAAATGCAGGAAACTATGTTATCATGTAGGAAGACAATCTCATTGGCTTCAGATAAATTTACAGCAGAAAGCAAAATATTCACTCTCCCTGAGATGACTTCTGCCTTGACAAGAACATGTGAAAAATAGATTCAATAAAGCTTGCATTCCTCAGAAGTAAAGCTGGGTTTAGCAGATCCTGTTATTTTACTAAACCAATTAACTTGAAAACAGACCAGTAATAAGATGGTTAAGACTTCTTTGGTCATCTTTAATCTGCTTAATGTAATAATAAAAACATAGTTCCCAGTTACAAGTAACAAAAACAGCCAAGACAAATCACCATAAGACAGATGCACACTATGTGCCAGGCACTGTTCGAAATGTGTGTTCGAATTTAATGCTGGTAATGCTACTGTTATCACCTCCATTTAGCAGATGAGGTAACTGCAGACCAGACCGGTTCACATTTTCCCCTCTCTCGGGTCTTCCTCTGTCCATTACTCTCATTTTGATTTCTCTGCAACTTTAAACTCCATTTCTTGTCTACCAAACTTATTATTCCTATTTATTTCTTATCTCTAATAATGGTGACTTAACTGATTGCTTTAATGTCTCTCAGCTCCCAATTCACCCTTTCTGACCGCTCAGTGAAAGCACATCTGGACTCTACATTTTTCTTTTGCCACCTGGCCCCAAGGCTTTGTCAGTGGAGGGCGCTGGAGGGCTGCTGCAGGAGGAAGCTCCATGTGCTCACTTGGCAGCTTCTCCACTGCCCCACTCCCGCTGTGCAGGGTGCTCAGCAACACCCCCTGGCCAGGTCTCCCAGCATTCCCACATACCTCAAACGGTGAGACACCTCTCTATGAACAGCTTTTCCCAGCACCCTAGAGGGCAGATTTCCAGCAAGTTCCACCAGGACAGCGGCACAGCAACTTCTCTGCCATTCAGTGAGCCATGGAAGAGGCAGAGTGTTGTCCTCACAGGAATAGACCCATATTTTGGATATGAATTTCCTTTTCCTGCCTGTAAAGCTTCTGCCATCCATGATCTCGCAGAAGGCCTTATTCTCACAGCACTGCGTCTGATCCAGGAACTCACTCCACAGCAAAAGGAGAACAGTAATGGGATCATGCCCATGGGATCAGCTGGTCTGACCACATACATCATCACCCAAAAGCAGCTGGCCAAGCTAATAGGTAGAACTGGTTACAAAGCAAGTCAGGGGACAACATCCTTAAAGAATGGGCACTTGGGTGGCACAGTTGGTTAGGCATCCGACTCTTGGTTTTGGCTCAGGTCATGATCTCAGGTTTGTGAGATCGAGCCCCATGTTGGGTTCTGTGCTCATGTGGAGTCTGCTTGAGTTTTTCTCTCCCCCTGTCCCTCCTCCTGTTTGTGCTCTCTCTCTCTCAAATAAATCTTAAAAAAAGAGGGGGGTGGGATAGGCTTCTGTCTCACAGGACACAGTGTCTCCCACATCACCAGAATAAAGAGGTCTGGGAATCAAATGGTGGGAGTCGGAGTGGCTTTTCTCACCATCATACCTCATAAGCCACTCAGAGAATTCTTGCTTCCTGGTCCGGCAACTCTCCAAGTTTGGAGATCTTAATCCTCAAGAGAGAAAATGCTTCTACCAGGACACACATCAGGCTGCTCAACTGTAAGATGGACACTGCACCTGGACATTCTGCCTTCTTTGTGCCGCTGAAGCACGAGGCAAAAAGGGGCTTGTCTACTGGCTGGAGTGATTGATTCTCATCCCAAGGGGACAGGGGTTTTCTATTACAAAATGAAGGCCACGAGGGCTCTGGAACCCAGGATTCTCCGGGGGGCGGCGAGGGGGGCACTCCTTAGTATTTCCAGGCCCACTAGTAAAGGTTAATGTAAAACTACAGCAATCAAGAAAAGGCAGTTGAATAAGGGCTCAGACCCTCTGGGGAACAGAGGTTTGGGTCACTCGACCAGCAGAGGAGCCCAGGATGCTGAGGTGTGGCTGAGAGTGGGGCACTAGGAATGGGTGCTGCAAGAAAGCAGCCATGGACACCAACCACAGCCTGTGATCACGACAGAAATGAGGGCAGGACTCACTCGGCATGCTCTCTATGGCTCGTTACAGGAGCGTGGTTGTCTGAATAGGCTGACCACTTTCTTCCTTCTCTTTCCCATTTTTATTTTATTCACAAGCTGTTGAAAGTTAACTTTACAACTTAGTCTTTCAGTCTCAATTGTGATGGACTTTGAGCAGTAATAACACAGCCAATGGTAAGTGCAATGACTCTTGGGACTGTATCTGTCTCCTCAGTTTGGTGAGAGGGCAGACTTCCTCACTTGTAGGAAAGAAAGCTGTACTCGCTAAGAAGAGAGACGGAGTCGCTTTGCCACTACAGTGGAACAAAAGTGCAGGCAGAAGATGGGCAGTCAGAGGGTGGGGTGAACTGCACCAATCATCGACCCACTGCCTCTCAGCTCTCACTGCCCTGAAAAAAAAAACACAGATCTGGACCCTTCACATATTTTTCCCTTTGCCAGCTGACGGTAGAGGGTGCAGGAGACACAGCCAGAAGACAGACAGTGTCTCCCAGGTCCAGGTGCTCTCTCCTGCAGCACAGGCAGCTGCCCCAGCCGCAGGCCCTGGCTGGGCTCACTGCTCCCCCCAGCAGCCGCTCTGGAGGTTTTGTACCAGAGCTCAAGTGGGACACCGCCCAGAAGGCGGATCTCCTGCGGTTCCATGCGGTGGCACCACAGTGACGTGTCTGCCATGCAGTGAGCAGAGGGCCAGGTCCAGGAGTCTGGATCTCAGCCCTGGCTCAGATGCCCTCCTCCATGGGCACACCAGCTCTGTCCTAAGGTTAGTGACTTCTCCTTACCTCTGCTACTCTAGCTTCTTTTGTGGTCTCTTTACCTCTTACTAGCCAAACCTTTATTATGCTAATAATTCTTTATACTTATATCAATAAATCTTCCTGTTCAAATCACTGTGTAGTTCGCTCTCCTGACTGGACTCAGACTAACAGAGTAACACTACCACCTACTAAAGCGTCCAGGCAAGAAAGCTGGAAATCTCTCCCTCTGCCCCTCCCCCTGCTCCTTCTCTCTCGCTCAAATACATAAAATCTTAAAAAAAAAAAAAAGAAGAAGAAAGAAAGAAAAGAAAAAGCTGGAAATCAGCTTTTAACCACACCCACTCCCCTACCTCTATAATGAATTGGTACAGACTGGTTATCAACTTTCGTTGTTCCTCATTTCCACTGAATTAAGAATCTTCCCACCTACTATCTTAGTTTAGAGCTCTGAAATCCTCACTATGTTTAGTATTTTTTTGTCAGTCTTCTGCCACCAATATTTTCTGTCCTAGGATCTTTTCAACCTGTAGCCATATTTTTTTAAAAAACATAAATCCCAATCATGTCATTCTTCTGCTTAAAATTACTTAATCCCGTACTTTCAGAAAGAAGTTCAAACCCCCCCAGCTCCTCATGATTCAGCACCTGCCTCGTTTTCTAGCACCTTTCCCTAGTCAAAGCTTCTCTCCTCACCACACTCCCACCACCACAACCAATTTACATTTCTTCTCCTACTGCATGTAATGTCTTCCATTTCTCCAGCACGGTTCAAGTTGTCTCTGTCATATGATCTGGGCTTTTGCACCTATTGTTTCCTAAATTACTAAGACTCTATCACCCAACCTGAGTAACTCCTCCTTGACAGGACTAGATCTGAGGCAATCAAAGACTAAAATCACCATGACCTTAGATCTGCACAGTGATCTGTACTTCGAAGGCAGTCCACTCACACACCACCACACTCTAGTGTACGCTGAGAGGAATGCTGTGATAGGAACCCAGATCTCCCCTCTCCTGGTCCAGGTCAGTGCTCACTTAGAACCATCACGTCACAGATACATTTGTCCATCCACGAGGAATACGAACCCCAACTGATTTAACTTTTCCTTACCTCCGGAAAGATCCATCTTATTGCTCTGTACATTTTCTTCTGGTGAGTCTCTCTGAAGTAAGAAAACACAGCATGTTAGCAGTCCTTAATTTATCAATGAAAATAAATTAAAAATGAAAAATTTTACTTCATTTCATTATCTGTCAAAAATCAAGTGGGCTGCAAAACTCTTTTCACTGCCTAACAAAGAAAACGTTTTAAAATAAGATATAAGATCAATGTTTTTAGCTAAAACTATGAAAATAAAGAAGGCTTCATGGTCAATTTTGCTCTAACCTCCAGCATATTCATAAGGATTGAAAGATAATAATTTGTTAAGAACGTAAAAAACTGAACTTAGGGTAAATTTACAGACCACCATTAAAAGGGGAGCGGGCTGCTATGAAAAATACACTTACCGAAAAACTGATATTTGAAAACTGTTTAACGAATGGATTTATCCATGCTTCTTCTTGTTTGTTTCCACCTTTCATGGTTCCCTTTGCAAAACAAAAGAGTAGAAAGCTGCCATGGCCACCTCTATTTATCTGGGTACAGTGATGGATTAATAAAACTTCAAGACAATTCCCAACTCTCATTTTTAGCCAATTAATTTCTCCTCCAACCAACTCTTAGTAGAGTTGTTAACAATTACAAATCAACTTATTTGATTTTCAACTTCCTTTGCTCCAGTCCTCTGGTATAGCTGTAACGTACAGAGAAATCTCTAAAGGCAAGCAGTCAGAAGGAAAAGACGGAAGCAAAGGGTGGAGAACTGTTCATCACGGTTTCCAGTTTACAAATGGACTGTGTTCTAAGAGCTTAATTATAATCTGGATTTGTGGGGTTCTGACACCACACTAAAGTAAAAGTGGTTGTTAGGTTCCACAGGTTAGCCCAAAGAAACCAACATACCTGTAATTTAATTATGCTATGTGCACTGTACTGAAAAGGCACCGCATGTTTCCAAATGAAAAGCTATTTTAAAATTTTAATTCGTGTTGCCGAGAACACAGTACCCCAGCGGCAGCTGAGGCTGGGGATCCTCCAACCCCCCGCCTTGGTGCCAGCTGCCATGGCTGGCTGGGCATGGGCAGTACAGAAACGACTTTGAGACACTCTTTGAGGGAATATGGTCCATGATGACGAGCCTGGCTGACAGGGAGGCTGGACACGCAGGGACCAAGGTCTCAAGACCCGTGAATACGAAAGACCACGGGGCCAGCCATTCTCGGTCTGTCGCCTGAATTCCCCTTTCCCGTTGCTACCGCCTGTTCCTTCCGACCGTGGGACAGAACACAGCTTCACACTACCCCCTCCCACCCCCCCAAAGTGCAGGTCTCTGAAGCAAGCACCTAACCCTTGCAAGGTTTCTGAAGTCCTCCTTGATTCCTCTGGCCCCCACCCCCGCCCTTATGCCTATATGGCTGCCAAGGCCTTCTGTCCCTTCTATTCTGAAATGCCCCTCCGATCAGTCCCTTGCACTACATATCCACTCTGGCTTCCCAATTCAGGCCCTCACTTCTCACCAGAAGCTTCCTGACTGAGATCCCCCAACTCTGGTGTCTCCGCTGTGCCAATTATTATCTTTCAGAAAGTAACTTAAAAAACCCAACTCATGTTGCCTTCTATGAAATTTCATTGGCTCCATATTTTATACAGAATAGAGTTCAAATTATCTTTGGCATGGTATTGAAAAGACTCTACTATCTGCCATTAATCTAACTATTGAGCCAGATCTCTTGTTACCTCTTTCCAGAAATTCTACACTTTAGTATATCAGGCTACTATTTTCCCTGGCACATCCCACCCGCAGGCATCTTCCAAACTCAAGCGGCTACTCCTCAGCGCTCTCCTACAGCCCCACACTAGACTCTGAGCTCCTCGAGGATACAGCTCATTTCCTAGTGTTTTTGAACCCCCAGCACCAAGCACAGTACCTGGCACACAGCAGAGGCTAAATAAATGTTTGCAGTTGCTTTCTAAAAGATTTTTACTAGCAGAAACAAAGGAGAAAGAGTAAAAAGGCTACACACCCTTTCCCTTCTCCTTTTTTTGCCACTCAGACCCTGTAAGGAAAGACAAAGTCACAAAACAGCATGGTCCAGTGGGAAGAACACAGATTTTAGAATCGGAAGACCTAAACTTGAGTCCTTGCTCTGTCCCTTACTAGTTATGCATCTTTGGGCAAGTCACCTCCGGTCTCAATTTCCTCATCGGTATTCTATCTCAGAAGGTCATGAGGACCAAATGGCTTATGTAAAATATGGGAAAGCACTTCATAAGCTATATGGAGAGGCAATAGGCAAATTCATCCAAATGAAACATCTTTTTAAATGAAAATGGTAGGTCCTAGACTGAGAATCCCCGGATTAAAAGGGAGGGATCCTGGTGGGCAGCTAGTGGAACTCCTGGATATTTGACCTCTAAGGTCTGGGGACGGGGGTAGGGGTGGGGTGGAGATGGACCGGTTCTCAAATAGGGTGGGGTGGGGAGAACCACCTAGGGGTCTGGGAACGTATTTTGAAAATGGTCCCCAAGAGACTCTGACACCAGCATCCAGTACCACCTCTTAAGAACCAGTGGTCTGCGTCAGTGCTTCTCAGCTCTGGCTCTACATCAGAGACATTTGGGGTCCAATTTCCAAAACTATAGTAGGCCTGGGGTACAGGAAGCTGTACTTGCAACAAATGCCATAGGATTCTGATGTACCAACAGGTTTGGGAATAAGATTTATCCACATACAAGAGAAAAATCAAACTCTGCTCATTCCTAGGGATTTTTGTCATAGGACCTTTCGGGGGCGGGGGGCAGGGAAGGGCTACAGATGGGGGATGAAAAAGGAAGATGGTGATTCTGGGTAAAGGGGAGGTCGGGGACTGCAGGTGAGCTGGAACGAGAGATGAACTGGCAGTGGGATGGAAAGAGTCAACAAGGAGATTTGCCCTTCTCTTCACCCCCACCACTGCAGGCACCACCCCGGGGTGAGGAGTGTCCCAGCCAGCACTGGTGGAGGGGGAGGAAGAGAGAAATCCCAAGCTGTAGCAGTGGGGAGAAAGGAAGTTCCTGCGGTCTTACGGCTGTCTAGGTGGCTGCCCATACAAGAGGCTATACCTAAGCTGGGGACTGCCTGGACTGTACTGACTGCCATAAATAGGCAGGAAGAACGTTAATTTTCTGAGGGTAAACTATCTTTGGAATAAATTTTCAAGGGCTTTGCCCTTGAAATGTTTACCTTCGATGACATTTTCTTTGTATATGGTGGCCAATTTAAAGATGAGTTAAGCTCTTGAGATGAATTACTATTCCACATTCCAATCTCTACATCCTCTTCCTCTTCCCAGCCAGTGGGGCGATTTCCAGGCAATGGCATATCATCACCACACCAGCCATCTTGCATAGATTTTGGCCCTGATCGTGGATTTGTGATATAAAAAGAAACATGCTTTTAATCAAACAATTCTTTCTGGAGGATGAGCACTCATTAAGGGGGCAGGGTGGGCGTGGGACCCTAAAAAAACCCCTATTTCCCTTCCCAAATCTGCATGGTAGGAATGTATGTTTTATACTGAGTTGAAGGTTCCACTGAGCAAGATTTTTTTTTTTAAAGTAATCTCTATACCCAACATGGGCCCTGAACCCACGACCCTGAGATCAAGAGTCGCTTGCTCTACCAACTGAGCCAGCCAGGCACGCCTAAGCAAGAAATTTTTTTAAATTAAAAATTTCAGAGGTGCCTGGGTGGCTCGGTGAGGTAAGTGTCCGACTCTTGATCTCAGCTCAGGTCTTGATCTTAGGTCATGAGTTCAAGCCCTGCACTGGGCTCCACACTGGGTGTGGAGCCTACTTAAAAAAAAAAAAATAAAATCAATGAAATATCTCCCATGCTTTTTACAAACAGAAGGCTCCTAACATGGAACAATGGTGGCCTTCTTGTTCATACTCATTTAACAATCTGCATGGCAACACACAAGGCAAAGAGGAATGAGGAAATTTCAAAGAATTCATTTTGATATATATTTTCAAAGAGAACAGCCACAAAGTACTGCAAGTCATAAGCAGAAAGTATCTCAACTCTAGACTCAGCCTTTGGAATTCCTATGGGGTACCCCACACACAACTTATGGGATAGGGACAACGTTCATCCAAATGCTGAATCAGGTCCCTCCTGAACTTTGTTCATTTTCTGTATAATATTCGGGGAGTAATCTGGAACCTGAGCCAGACAGTTTGGATATGTGTCCACACGATTATATATCCAGTCTCTCAGGTTGGATAACATGAAAGATGCTTGAATAGGTAATCTTATTTGGTAAAATAATAACTTAGATTTGGTGAAGTACATGCAAATCCTTATTAGTTAACACAGTTCTAAGACAAGAAAATTCAGAAAGCTAAAAGAGCAAACCAAGTTACAAATTGAAAGAGGCAAATAGTGAAATCATCTAGTATGATGATACACAGATACATTTATCAATGATATAAGCATTATCCGATTATTTAATTATACACAATGAGAGACCACCACTGCGACAAAATAGCTACCAGGAATTATCAATAACTTACCAGATTTGCTTAATGCTTGAGGACCAACAGAGCTGGAGCCCCACGTGGATGTGTTGGATGCCGTAGCAATGGGCTCCCCCCAGCTGGGACCACTGTCTATGGGTTTACCCCATGCTGAAGTACCATTATCCACAGTTGTGGCTGGAGTAGAAGGCTCCCCCCAGGGCTCACCCCAGCCTTTAGAAAGTGTGGGAAAAGAAGTCATCAGCACATGGTAGGGTGGTGCGGTGGAATAAGGGGCAATAAGGAATACTTAGGGAAAAGATGAAGACCTTCACATTCACAGATCGAATAATGATGCTGCGATGGGCAAAAATAATGGCATCTGTTTTATGCAAAGAAGACAAATCATTTCCCATTATCATAATTTAACTACACGGTGTGAATTTTTTTCCCCACCTCTTCTTTCATAATTGCCCTCTGGGTGTAGAGCACATTGTTTTGAATGACCTTAATTATGGCCAAGTCATCCTCCTTTGAAGATGAATTTAATTCCTGGAAAAGTCAAGTCATTCTGAGCCAAACCTACTGATTCCAAGCAGGTAATCAAGCTGGGTAATGGTATGTGTATACAACTTTTACCGTTAAGTGCAACCTTTCAACATAGTGCACTGTTCTGGGGCAAAAAAAAAATAAAATAAAATAACTACAAGACTAAAAATACCTAGGCACCCTATTTTTATACATGTTGGACAATGCTTCTTAAAAATTCTGAGGTATCAGGTTGTCCAAAGCAAAGCCATAAACATTGTTCAAAAGAACCAAAACAGCCTTTCCCTTAGATACATACCTGTTTCTTGTAAGAATTGAATCTAAATTAATAAACTATACTTGAGGGGAAAAAATTGGATGCTGAAAGGTTTGCTCATGAAAACACTCCTATCACTACTTCCGAAGGGACTGATGATTACTCAGTAAAACGTCCATTAACAAAGATAATGCGTTCCAATGACACTTAATGAAAATGTCATTGTCAAGATCATCTGCAGATAGGAACTAGCTCCTTGTCATGAGAGTTGGAATATGTCAGAAAGGTACTATCAAATGTTTTAAGTACACAAACATACACGCTGTATAACTAACAGACTTGGATTTCATGCCTACTTAAATAAATCCCCTCTAAGGCCAAATATAGCACCTGGTATTTAGAGAGTATTGTACTTGGATGCTTGTTTTATTTCTGGGGACACTAATCAAATAACGAAACCAAACAGTAACGGCCTGACTCAGAAGAACTGAGAAGTGTAGGGCATTCCCACTTGACATCACTTTCCCAACTCTGCCTTCTCAAGTCTTCCTAACAGAGAAGAGAGTATGTGAGACCCACAACCAATGCGGCCACAGGCAGAGCTCTGTACCCTGATGTTAAACGCCCTATTATTTTCTTCCCTAGAAGCTCCTCCTGGATCAGAGGGGAAAAGCCCTTTGTGTGCATATCCAAATACTGTTAAACAAATCTTACAGCAGCAACAGTACATTGAAACGAGGCTGACAATACTGTGAAGCATTTCGTAACACCGTCAGACTCCATTAAATGAAAACTTACCAGAGCCACTGCCTGCCTCTTTGTTTGAGATGGCACTTGCAGATGGTAGCAACTGGTGTACCTGTGCTTGCTGGTCTGAACGGCTGCTGCCATTTGGGACGTTTTTGTTCCACATGTTCACATTTTTGTAGTTGTATTTGCTCGGATCTCCCCAAGCTGAAGTTCCGTCGTCAATCTCCATTTTGCGACGTATGGATTCTGGGGATGGTTCCTCCCAGCCTGTGGGCTCTTCTTCTTTTGTTGGGGCTGGTATAGGTCCTCCCAGCCAGCCTGTACCAGGAGGTTTGCCTGTAGCTGGTGGGATTCCCCAAGACCCGACAATGTCTTGTTGCTTGTTCCAGTCTGGAGAACCGACTGGCTTTGACGAATCTCCCCAACCTAGAGACTGATTAGACTTTGGAGGATCTCCCCATCCCTGGGAAGGATTAGGTTTAGAAGATTCATCCCATCCTGATGAATTATTTGGATTTATGTTATTTCCCCAAGTAAAGGAACTAGTTTTACCAAGTTCATTCCAACCAGAAATGGACCGGTCACTGTCACTACCTCCTGAGCTAGATTTCTTATTAGCCTCACCCCAATGGTTACTCCTTGAAGTTTCCCCCCAGTTATCACCGGCAGAAACGGACCACCCTTGGTTTGATTTTTGTCCATCACCCCATCCCTGTTTGCTCTTTTGCGAATCATTCCATGCGGACTTCTCTTCTTTGCTGTTCCCCCACTGATTGCTCTTGACCATTCCTGTAGCAGCAGAGTCATCTTCCCATCCCCCCTGGCAGCTTGAGCCTTTGGAATCTCCCCACCTCAGAGCAGGTTTGGGATCTCCCCACCCCGATACAGATGAGGTATCATTACTAGTAGGGCTAGTCTTATCTATACATGCCCCTGAGTTAAAAGTCTGTGTTGCAGAGCTTCCCCAGGCCTCTGTCCCATTGTCAGTCTTTCTTTCCCCTCTAGGTGATGTTTCCGTATCCCAGGCAGTATTCTGCTTAATAGGAGTCTGTCCCCAACCAGAGTTGGAGAGGACACGTGGATCCAAGTCAGTTCTGTTTACGATGCTTTGGAGTAATGTGTGCTGATCAATTTTTCTCCTATCTCTACTCTGATTTTCCCCAGTTGCTTTCTCCTCGAGGCGTCCAGTGCTTTCTGTACTACCTTCACTCTCCACTGTACCTCCTGTTTTGGCCCATACACTGTTCTGCTCATTTGTCTGAGATGCGGCAGAACCTTGATCCTCTTCCTCAGTAGACTTCCATCCGTTTGTAAACTTCTTACCATTGCCATTTGCACTGTCATTGGAATGCTGATTGCTAGGCAGTTTGTTCCACTCCACGCTGGGTATATTAGTGCCAGTGTTTTGTGCAGGAGTTCCCCATCCTCGTCGACTTCCTCCAGAATTTGCGCCATTTCCACTTCCCCACGATGCACTCTGGGAATTCGCTGCCCCAGACTCCCACACGCCTCCTCCTTTATTTGTGTTCACTTGAAAGTTAGTGCCCATAGGCCCATTTATGCCAGGCTGCATTAGAGTTGCATTCACAGTGTCACCATTAGCTTGGCCGTTAGGGCTCGAACATTTGTCTCCAGAGTAGTTAGAACCATAGGCACCCCACGTAGTACCGTAAGAGCCTCCGCTTTTTGGCTCTCCATTGCTAAGGTGAGAAAGGGAAGTGCCATTCATAACCGACGGAGCCTGTATCTGAGGATGATTCATTGTGCTCACACGCCAGGCCCCTGTACTACCAGGCAGTTCATTATTCTGTACTGAACCGGAGTTTGGTAAACTAGAGGTCATAAAGTTAGTAGTGTTATTTGGTCCAGTCATCTCAGTGGTAATATTCTGAGGTTGACCACTGAATGAAACCTTCTGTGTACCACTTACTTCAGATTCACAAGTTTCCTGAAGGCTTCCCCAGGTACCATGAGTGGAAGAACCACCCACTTTAGAGTTAATACTCTGATTGTTAGGCATCTGGCCTAAGGTACTGCACTGAATATTGATGCCAGAACTACCGCTCCCTACAGGCCCTTTGAGGGCAAGTCCGTTGTTGTCTAATACTGGCCAGGCACCATGGTTGCTAGCTGAATTCAAAGTGCTTGGATTTAACCCTCCATTTGATGAAGAACTTACAGTGCCCCAAGCATTCATTCTATTGTTGCTACTTTCTGATTTGCTTTCAGGAGCATCCGCAGAGACCTGACATGTGCTTATTATGGCTCCATGGGAAAAGCCCCATGGCCCAGTACTACTTCCATGGCCCACGTTATTGCTGCTACCAACCACAAACTTGTTTTGGGAACCAAGTCCAGTGCTATTCCGAAGGCCATCTTTTTCACCACCGGTGCTTCCTGAAGCCATGATAGTGATGTTTCTCTCTGATTCAGAACTGGAGGCAGAATCAGCATCCATACATTCTGAAGCCAACTCTGGATCACTGCCAGGGACTGAGGGCCATGCTTCTTTTTCGGGGGAGTCGTTTACAACAGCATTCTTACAATTTGTGCTAGAGTCACTCGGAGAAGACACAGGTCCCCGCTGCGAATTTTCATAATGGGATCCTGAAGTGTTGTGGTTTATATCTAGAATAAAGGAGAAGTACAAAAACTTACGAAGTGTTTGAAAGGGCGATAAATGTTATAAACGTATGTGGTTCCTCGACATTAACTTGGCAGTATGGTTACAAAGGCACTGGTTATATCCCAGCCACCAATTTTTCTTATCCAATTAGTAATTCCACTCGGGCAGGGTATTTTGCTGCTTTGTTCACTGATGCTATCCTATGAGCCTAGGGCAGTACCTGGAACACAAGAGCCCCTCTCAATAGATAACTGCTGAATGAACAAACTGGTATTTATCAGCAAGTAAAAGAATTTTGGTGTGAAGAAGAACTAGGTGGTAGTAATGTATTGGGATAATGAAGCAACCCAAGCCTAGAGGCCTGACATGGGAAAGAAGGGGCTGGGAAGGAGATGTGTGAGGACAAGTGAACAGGACGAACTTGACTACATGTATTAGAAACATACCAGAAATCCTTTCCTGTCTTCCCTTTCTTAGAGGAGCTTTTTCATACAGCTCTTTGGGTATTAGAACAAGTTTATAAAAACTACAAAGCCTTTTCCATTTTATTTCCATTTCATTAGTGTTTTTATTCAACCTGAAATACTGCACACAAGTATTTTTAGTTGCATTCTCCTTCACAAAAATTCTTAATTTACCTTCATAGTCATGTTTTATAGAAGATCACAGAATTATGACAATTAGAAAATCAAGTGTTGACATTAAACACCATTAATGACCAATCACAGAATCCTATAATCTTGGGACTCACTGCTATATATTATCATCTAGTTGTTTTCCTGCAGGTAGGAGGCAAGCAGTTCTCATGCTTCTAATACTTCCCCAGATTCATTCCTCTCCTTCGGTTTAAGGATCTGGTAGTTAAAAGTTCCTCAGAGATATTAACCTGCATAAAATGTCTGCCTTTAGACTGTCTTTAGGGGGTGGCTTATATTGTAGTTCTTGCCAAGAGTAGTACTCAGTATCCTACGTGGTGCTTTTAAGTAACACATACATTCAAGTCACATCCCATACCTAATGAACCAGCTGCCAGGGATTGCAGGCCTAGAAAACAAATGTAACTCACTACTGGTATATTGCTAATATGGAAAATCAGGTTCATCTCGCATCATTTTCTCGCAAAGCACAATTGTCAAGCAGCAAAACACTATGAGCTAGAAAGAACAGCAGAAAAAAGCACTAGAGAGAGACCAAAAGTGTATATATAATTCACCAAATACATGAATCTTAAAGTTCCATAAGAGACTCTGATCTCCACTCCCTGTTTGGGAATCATTGTTTTAAGCTGCCAAATAGAGCGCGTCATCTTTCAGTGCCCGCGAGAAGGTCTTTCTCACGCAACACAGGATACCGAACAGTCTGTCTCACGGGGTAAAAACAAACCAATACACCAGCACCTGCACCACCAGCAACATCATTCAGCACGGATCATGGATCACATGTTTTCTACGCATTTTTGTCACTGACTCCTTGGAACAACCCTAGAGCACAGATACTACCTTCACTTTGTAGATGGGGAAATCGAGGCCCAGAGGTTAAGTTATAGCAAATCACATGAGGAAGGCAGGATTCAGCATTGGATAATAAAGCAAGCTGGCTGAGAACATGGCTGGAACTCTCACAGACACCAAGATTCATGTCTGGGCTCTATGCAGCAGTGGTATGCCCAAATCTGCAAAACAGGGCTACAAACAGTACCTCTCTACCCAGCTGTTAACTATACTGTCCTTTGTGAAGTATTTCGCTCAGTGCCAGCTTCAAAGAAGGGCTCTGCAATGGGCAGTCTGGTACAGTGACTAAGAGCACAACTGTGCAACCAGACTGCTTGCGTTTAAAAGCTGCTCCGCCATTTCCTTGTGTGATCACAGGCAAGATCCTCAATCTTTCTGTACCTTAGTTTCCTCAACTGTAAAGGGGGAGCAATAATAGCACCTGTCTGAAACAGTCACTGGAAAACTAAGTGGTTAATAATTAAAAATGCTTTGAACCATATCTGATTCAAATTAGGTACTTAATAAATGAGGGCTGTTATTATCACTAATTAATACATATTGACGACTCTCCTGATTATTTCAGTCCTGTCTCCAAAGCACATTTTCCACTCCACCACGTCTATCTCATGGAGAACAAAATCAGAAATCATACAACCTGCTTACATTAAGTCTCTACTTAAAGGTCTCAAACAGAACACTAACTCCTGGATTATTCCCCCACAGATGCCTCTCCCCCCCTCCAAAAAAAAAATCCGGTTTCTTTATGGTTTTCTTCATCTCAGTAAGTTTCCTAAAACCTTACTGTGCATGGCAAATCCCAAACACCACCAAGCCCCAAATTCATCCACTTTTCTCCAGATCTAACAGTCAAGCCACCATCACCATTATCATCACCTCAAAGAGGTGAGTAAAAGTACCTGTTGCCACTATTTGTTTTCTCACACATGCCAGTGTTTCTTGCCACTTCCACCCAGCAGAAGTAAGAAAGCGAGATTGGGAATGTCAGACAAAACGACCTAGGCTGAACACAAAACCTGGAATTTAACAGTGAAACAGCAGAAGCATTCTCATACGGACAGGGAAAAGGCAGGGTACTTGTCCTCAACACTTATACTCAGCCTTGTGCTGGAAGTACTGACCGATGAATGGGGACCCAGAAAAAAGGTAAGCATAGTGGAAAAGAAACAAAATAGATTAACATGTAAAAAGCAACAGTTTTCCTATATACCAGAAGTAGTCGACGAGAAAATGTGACCGAGAAAAGATCCTAACAGCCACAAAAACTATAAAGCAACTTGGAATAAAGCTAACAGAAATATGTAAAGTCATACATGATTAAGTTTTATTGCAGGCCACAGAACACAACTTGATTAAGTACAGAAACTTGTTCCTGGATAGCAAGATAGAATAATATTCTTTCTTAAAGTATAATTCAATTATAAGAAATCGCTAACAAGAGTCTGCAACTTGGTTCAAGTGATTTAAAAATTCACATAAAACATGAGAGAATGAGAAAGAGAATCTCAGTAGTGGGATGGGGTGCGGGGGGCGCCGCAGGGTCACGTGACAGCTAACGAGCGCCGCACCGGCCAAGCAGCTAAGCTTCAGCTGAACGGCACCAGGAAGCCAGGGACAGACCCAAGTGTTTGTCAAATGTTAGTATTTTAAATCAGTAGGAGAAAAGGAATATTTGATACTTTAAAAAGATTTCTTAAAATCAATTTATCAAAAATAATTTCGTCTGATTAATGTGTTAAAAGATGAAACCATGAAGTTACCAGTGAATGAGAGTATTTTATACATAAAAGCAAAGACACCACAAAAGAAATGACATAGATTTGACTACTTACCCAAAATGTGAAGTCATTTTATGTCAGAATACATCAAAAGCAAGCAAGGAAACAAACAAAAAACCCCCAGCAAATAGCAGGATCCATTTTGCAAACCAAACTCTATCACCTTTAATGTTAGTAAAAATTTCTCTCAGAATCTGGTCACGACCTGGTTTGGAGGGGGCAGGGCATGGCCTAAATTTGTCTTTTGCTAATATATTATGTATTTTCAGAAAATGAGAGACACCATCAGCATTTATTAGCTAAAATTTCATTAAAAAATTTTTTTTAATTTCATTTTTAATCTAAAAACTACTTGCTACTTTCAAAAAACCCAAAATTAAAAGGCTATATCAAAAACTGCATTTACCAAGGATCTTTTGGTTATGAAAAACGTGTAGCTAAGACAGAGGTGGGGAGATCCCAGTCTAACTAAAGCTTTGAAAAAAAGACTCCTCAGCAATCGCAACTAAAACGTTTCACAGAGACAGAGACTCTTTCAGAATTGGGAGAGGTGAAAATTTTAGTGTTTCCCTTACAGACAGGAAGCCAAAACCCATCATCACAAATGATCCAGAGGATAAACACAGAGGAACATAATTAACAATGCTGTTACGTTTTTCCAGGGAACAGTGAGAAACAGTAAGACTGTGAAGCCCCAAGCTGGTGGGAGGAAAGGGGGCAGCTGAGTTTTACTAAGCATGGTGCAAAATACAGATTTTCACACACTGCACTGATGTAGGCAAATGAAGATTTGGAAGATTGTGCCTTACTAAAGAACACTGGAAATCCAAAATAATACCATCAGCTCTTATTCTCACACAAAATTACCTTATGAGAACTGGGGCAACTCGAGCACCACACCTCAGAAAGAATAGTGCATCTCATAGCACCTATTCCCAAAGATCAAAAGGGATATGTGGAGGCAGAGCGAAGACTGGCGATGATTCAAGTGATTTGTAAAGAAACAGTAATAATCTGCTCAGGAAGAATTTAGGTACAGGAAAAATAATTTATTTTTCTTATTAAATATATAGCACGTAACAAACAAAATAGTTAAACATGTGCCTTCTGCCTTAAAGACTTTTCATTCTCACCAGAAGGGCAAAGTCTTCAGAAGTAAATGTACTCTGGTTTTAGAGTATTTCTGGGAAGTATGACATAGCATCACTTGGGAATATGAGAGAACCTGGCGTGCCCATTTCAAACAGCACTCAGTGACAAAGGTCAAAATGTTTCTTTCAGTTACTCTGGCCTCTAGTCCAGGGGCTGGCAAACTTTTTCTGTAAAGGCCCAATTAGTGAATACTTTCAGTTTTGCCAGCCAGAGCGGTCTCTGCGGCAACCACTCTGCCACTGTGGCCTGCAAGCCACCGGAGACAACATGTAAATGAGTGGGCGTGGCAGCCTTCCAATAAAACCGGACCAAAATGGGCTGCAAGCCACTCTCTGTTCTAGACTAAAGACGACAAAAGCAATACTCCCAACCAAATGCAAGGCACGGATCAGGACTGGTCTCTGGTCTGAGAGATGAGGTGAGGGTGGTGGGGAGACAGGCATAAAAGACAATCTAGGGGCTGCCCCTCCAGACCGGACAGCGAGGGCCTCCACGGGGTCGGGTCCGTGGTGATGGCCATGCACACAAGAGAGGAGAGCGGAAAGGCGTTTTGGAGTTGGAATCGGCAGGACATGGGAAACCAGTGGCCTATGAGACACGGAGATGGCCAGTCAAACATGATTTTAAGATTTCCAGATGGGTGGTGACTGGATGTGCCAACCTTCTGAGCAAGAGAACTCAACAAATGACACTGGTATGTGGCAAGACGAGGAGTTCAATTTTGGATGTGTGGAGTTTGAGGGGCCCAGCATCAGCTGAAGACATCCAGAAGGCATGAATCGAAGACTCAGGAGAGATGTGAAGCAAAGTCATGGGAGGGAATAAAATCTGAAAACTGGTCGAAGAAGAGAGCAAGAATGAGCTTTAAGGAAGAGGAAAGTGATCAACAATAAAAAAAAATGTAGGTGTCTATTAAGATGAAAATGGAAAAGGCTGTTTTTTACCACAGCTACAACTGAAAATCACTAAGCCTAGATTTGACATTCAGAAAACCAATGACCTTAGTAAGAGCTATTTTAGTGAAGTGGGAAGGAGCCAGATTACAGAGGACTGAAGTCATGTATTACAGACTGCAAACATAGACTATTCTGTAAGAAGGGGGAGGAGAGAAATTCTATAATGTCCTCAAGAGACTGGGGGTTTAATTTTTTTAATGATACAAATGTAACTACATTTATAGACTAAGGGGGAAGAGGTCCAAGTAGAGAGCAAGAAGCGGAAGTTCCCGGACAAGAAGGATGGACACTACAGTGAAAAGACAGTAAAGAGCACAGGCAGATGGACAATATTTTCATCTTTAAATGTCTCTGGAAACTTAACATTTCTTTTCATTAAAACAGCCCCATTTCTTGGTCATTCACCAATATAGCTCAAATGTCCTTGAGGTTCTTTAAAAAGAAAGAAAAATTCAAACATAGTAAAGGCTATAAAGAGTAATACAGACAATACCCACATACTCTTCCCCTTAATACACTAACAAAGAATACTCCTGTGTACCTCTTCTCTGATCACATCTCCTTCCTTCCCCAGTGGGTCACTGAATGGTAACCACTCAAAATCTGAACTCATCCCTAAGCAATATAGAAGCTTTGTATTTTATATAAATGGTATCATACTATAAACAAACAATGACATTCTTGGGACAACCAGTGGAAATGTGAACACAAACTACCTATTACAGGATTTGCTGAATGTGTCTCCCCTTTTGCCTAAGGGTGGATCATGGTATCACGGTTGAATAGGAGACTATCCTTATTCTTAGGGAATTTCCTGTGGAAAATTAAAGGTGAAGTATAATGAATGTGCACATGTGTGCATATGTATGTACTTATGACGAGGAAGGTGAAGGAAGAAGGAGTGGGAAGGAGGTATGCGTGTGAAGTCAAGATGGGAAAACATTAACAACTACTGGATCTGGGTGCAGGGTACATGGGTATTTGTTTCTCTACTCTTTTAGCTTTATGGTACATGTCAGTTGAATGATAAAATGTGGGTTGGGACACTCTAGACCATAAGAACAATACTGCTGCCAGCCCTGTTAGGTGTATGAGTGCCTCCCTCCTAGATCCTCTATTACATGAAGCCCTGTAAGTCCCCCAGCTTGAAGAGTTATTTGGGCGGTAGCAGAGCCCAACATCCTAAGGCTCTAAGAAATCAACTGCCCAGGAGAAGTCTTGATGTTGACTGAAAGCATCACTAAGTGTCTGAGGTCTAGTCACAAACCGGCAGCTGAGCCTACAGCACTGTCTGGTTTGACCAGAGTAGGGCTCTAAAGGCGTGTAAAGGTATTCAGGTGGGGTACAAAGTCAGTATCTTTACCCCTGTTCCCATCACTCCTTTTCATCTTCTACTTCACTTACCTGCTAGCCTGCAAAGGTGCTTAGCTTAGGACCTCTGATTGATTTTATAAAGTACCTACTCTCATCTAAGGACTATCCCTGCTCTCTGCACGGAATGAACAAGAACTGAATTACGTGAGGACAAGGGAGGTGTATCCAGCACTGCACCCCTCACTTTTATCATGAAAACGTAAGTAAATATCTGTGTATGTATTTATTGTATGTATTGACCCACCCGTCAAATCTATTCCATTAACTGTATTTGCTCAGGAAACAAAAAAGTGAAACACAAATACAAAAATGAAAGCAGTTAAGATTATGTTTGCACAGTTGTGAACTACCTGTGATTCACAACACACAACTTTTGTGTTTCTGGACCATCGCTGATGCTGTTTATAATGTACACGACATTGCTCTTCACCGATCTCTAGCCTGTAAGGTGAGGACTGAATGTTAACATAGTGTGTGTGCTGTAGTGAGCACCCCAGCAGGGGTTAGTCACCGGGTCACTATGATCCTTAGCACTGTAAATAACCTCAGAGCCCAGGGCAGACCTAACGGTCTAAGAAGCCTTCCCTAGTTCACAGACACCCAACCGCCTCTTATGTGGCTCAAGTTGCTACTCCTTGTAGCATCTACACAGATATTTTAATGTAAATATGTGACATATGCTGGTAAGTGGGGATTCACAAATGTTTTTTAAAAAAGACAAAAGCACAAATCAGGTTTTCTTGCAGAGTGCTCTGCCTTCGTCATCCACATCAATTCCAGACCTCAGCCAGAGACTGCTGCACCCTCCTGGCTTCTATCCCCACCTCCACATGAACGCAGTGCCCTCTCGTAAAGTCCTCTGCGAAACAAGCAGGGTAATTGTCCTTCTCAGCCTTTGTTGAAGACTTCTTCCTATGCTCACATAGGCCTTCTTTTCATCTGAATGCATATCTATAATACTTTTGGGATTTTTGACCCATACCCATTTGTGAGAAACCTTCTTACACTCCTATTGTTTCCATTTCAAAAACAGCTTTGTTCTTTCATCTTCCAAATTTTGAAAATGATACGCAACATACCATTTTCTAAATTTAGGCCCACTTCCTTGTTCATTTTGTTAAGTGTGATACCACCATTGTTTAGCTTGTTATAGGTACTCAAGCATTCGCTGTGCGAGTAACCTCTCCTAAGGCTTTGATCACATTTTTAAAAAACATACTGATGACTCACTGTATGTGCTTTCAATCTCATTTCTCAGATGAACGTCAAGCCAAATTAACTGCTTGGTGTTACATGTCATATGTCTAAATCAGACTCTTCTTCCTGAAAAGTACGGGTCCTTCTGTAAAAGTTTGAGGGAAGATAATTCATTCAGTACCTAAATATCAGGTGCTAAGCTATGCGCTTAAACCCATCACATAATTTAATACTCAAAGCAACCATAGAGGTTGGGCACTAATGTCCATACTTTACAGCTTAGGAGAGGATTGAGGTAAGTTAAGTGATTTGGCCAAGCCCACATACGGTAGAAAGTGGTTACAGGGGTAGTATTAACTCAGGGTCACGGTTTAAGTTTGTATCCTTTCTAATAATAATGTGCTGCCCTAATTACCTGTGCTAGAAAAATCACATCCGTGTCCTCTTCCTCCGTACCTACGGCAGCCGGTGTGCCGCCAAAGTACAGCAAGGCTGTGACAAGCACAGCTTTGGAGTCAGGCAGATCTTGGTGTGACGCCAGCTCCGCTACTTAGTAGCTGGGCAGTACCGTAATGAAACGGACAGAGGAGGTCCTGATACACAGAAGTGAGCACAGAGACAGAGTGCAACTCCTGCTGGGACAGTGAGCAATGGCTGCTCAGATGAGACGCAGACCCACGGAGCAATTAAGCAATTAAGTTGTGAGCAAGCTCACAAACACCGGTGTATGTGGAGCTAGGATTTAAAAACCTCGTCCATTTGGCTCTAGAGACTTTGTTCTTAACCAGTGTATGCGAGTGGTTTCATGCGTGGGAACCTTGATTCTCCTCAATTGTCTACCTGGCTTGTAGTAAATGCTTCAAAACAGTTTGAGAAAAAATGGACAAACAAACCGTCAGAGCCTATCAGAACATACTGAAACAAACTGGCCTTTGAGAGAACTGTAATCACACACATTTTCTGCCTCCCCATCATTACGGAGCTCAGAAAGGCCCTTCTGTGGCCATCACTGAATGCACGTGCTGTCTGAATACCATTTCCACCTGCGGCGGTCTTTCTCGGGCACAGGGTAACCGAGCGATCATGGGGCAAGTGATCGAAAGTCTTGGTGCCTCAGTTTCCTCTACTGAAAAGTGAGGATAAGAACAACTTGGGCCTCACAGGGCTGTTGAGGATTCACTGCAATGATATGTACAACCGCTTAGGACATATGCTTGGGGGGGGGGGTGTGTGTGCTCAATTTTAGCTGTAGTCTTATCGATTTAAGCTATAAGCTGCTTATGAAAATGGGTAGAACCTGGAGGGAAGGTGATTAAAATAATCATTTAAAAAGTGGGATGGGCAGGCGGCTCACAGGGAACATTTTAGGATTCTCCCTGTGCGGGCACAGACAGATCCCCAACAAGCCATGAACGTGTCACCCTGCTGCGCTGCTAATGCGGACGGTTGGAGTCTCGTAAGAAAGGCCTTCTCTCACCTGACTGGTTTTTGCTGTTCTGCACCTCTCCGTTATTTTGTGGCTGTTGATTTGTTAAAGCACTGCTTTCTGACTGGCTGCTTAACACTTTAACAGCAGATCCCAGGTTTGCTGCTATGACAGGAAAATGCTGACCCCGCTTTAGAAGCTGTTTGTGTTCCTGGTGGCGAAATCGCGGTGGCACTTCTCGAGGGTACCGAGGCAAGGCCTGAGCTGGCTGCGGCGGCGGCTGAGGCTGCGGCGGCTGCGGCGGCTGCGGCGGCTGAGGCGGCTGAGGCGGCTGTGGCTGCTGCGGATTGTTGGCTGTGGCTCGCTTGGCATTATTATTAGTGCTGGTTGCTGTGGAAGTGCCGTTATTAGAGTTGGCAGGCTGAGGCTGGCTTACACTGGGCTTTATCTGTTCTGGCACTAATCCCAACAAAAGAAAAGGGGTGGAAAAGATTAGCCAGTAAAGTGTACCTCCACAGTAAGCCATCTAAGTAAAAAGGCACTAAGAACAACAACCCTGAAGGAACTGAAAGTTCAAGTGTGCGAGGATACCCTCATTCACAGGCTCAGGTGGTCTTAGGGGAGAGTCCAATTTTACTTCGGCAACGACCCCTCCAACAAGGGCACGGATGCCACTGGTGTCCCCTGGCCTGGGTGGCACCTCCTGCTCACCAGCTCTGGCCTGTGTTATTCTGATCAGAGAACAAGCACTGGTTCTACAACTACGGAACTCACAACAGCTCAAAGGGCAAAAGTGGCGAATCAAGTTCTGTTCATCCTAAAAGAATCCTCAGTTCCCGGGAAACTATTCCTAACCTGTCTCATTTTTAATGTGTTTGGTCCCTATTCTTCATCTCTGAAAGATAACACAAGAACAGATAGAAAGGGTAGAAAACAATCTGATCGTTTCTTTACAAAAAGGCAAAGTTAGCAGCATTTTTGTTGTTAAAACATAAAGCCTGGATCAAACAGGACAAACTCAGAATGCAGAAGTCAATACAAATATTACAGAGTGAAATCTATGAAACTAATCAAAGTTGGAGAAATAACTTAGATACCCTGTCTTAAGCAAATCTGAAATAGCCATTTGCCTACTGCATGAACAATGTGAAATTATAAACAGTGGATTTCTAGACTCTTAGAAGAGATTAAATAAACTGATGGAAATGCCTTACACTGGTGAAGATATACCCAATCTCTAAAATTACAGAGAGGCAGCATAATGTATGAACTTTTGGTGCCAGATGGACCCAGGTTTTAATCCCAGTGCTGCCTTTACTAAGCTTTGTGTCTTTGGGCAAGGTGTGTATACCTGACTGAGCCTATGGTCTCCTCCGTAAGATGGGGATAAAACCTATACCTTGCAGGGCTATCCTAAAGTTAAGTATGTTACCGCTTACAGAGCACCAAATACAAGGCTATACGAAGAGTGGGTATTTTTTAATGATCCGCACAATACCACCTTACACTTTTGTTAACAGTTGAACGTTTCTGTGAGTCTGATGCAACTTTACAGATGCCACTGTCAGATAAATAAGTGCAATGTCTCCATGTGACCAGTGAGGACACTCGGAGAAAGCACTGTTCAAGGGTTGAGAGCCCCAGGCCTGAAATTTGAATAGCCCGCCCCCAGAACTGGGTTATCTCTGTGTCCTTCTCCTCGCCTGCACAGTACAGGAAGTCCTGGTCTAGTACCCAGCACACTGTAAAAACTAAGTAAACGGAAGCTATTCTGTGGGCCAAATAAAGGCAATATTTGTCCAATGCCTACAATGTGCATGATACTGAAACAAAAGGTCACCAGTAAGCCACCGAACCCCATGTCACCTCTCCTCTCCCCCCAACCCCTCGCCCCCAGAGTCTCCTTCATTTAGCAGTCTGGCCTCACTATGGCCTTCTTTCTGAGCCACTGGTGGACTTAGCCTATATCACTAATACTAATATATTTTTAATACGTGATCTGGCCTTTTTCAAATATGGCTGATTTTTCTGAAGTAATACAAGCAAACTGTCATTCAGGAGGACCTGCACTGAAAAGTCAAAAGCATTCTATCTGTGGCTTGGAGTCTTTTCATTCCTCCTGAAGGCAACTGAAAAGCCTCACATTAAGAATTTGAGTCAAGTACATTCTAGGTCTAATTACTTAATGTGTGAAACTTTTGTCTCCCAGACAATTTAATGCTTCCAGAAAGTACCAATAATGTATATTCCTTTGTCACAAGGAAAGTAAGGTACTAGAATATTCTAAAGTACCTCTGAAACAAACAAAAAGATAAAGTACATGTAACTATGAAATCACAGAGAACACAAAAACTCGAACTCAGCCTTTACGTGTTGAGTACCAGGCTCAGCTTGGTATTTCGCAACTGAACGTAACCTTGTAACACTTACAATACTATCCAGTGCTAAAATACAGGCTTGCCTGCCACTTTATTACTAACAGGAAAAGAAAAGATTGTAACAATTTAAAACCCAAACAAGATATTGTTTATAGGAGATGCAACAGAAACATGTTCTTTAATACATTCAAGGAACTATAAGATAACCTACAGGCAAACACTGTGAAGGGCCTACACGAAGAATGTACAAGAACCTCAACACTCCATTTAAAAATGACCAGAAATTCAGAAGCAGGATTTACGTCGGTCATGTAGCAGCCCCATCCCTACCTCAAATTCAGAGAGCTGCTGTACTTATCGATGAAACGTCACGGGGAAAATAAGGCTGAGATAGGGCCTCATTTCTGGGGCCAGAAAATTTCACCAACACCAGTAAAAACACTAAGACAATGTAACTATTGATTATAAAACTGAACTAAATAATCTGAAGTGAAATCTCAGATGTAAACATGAAACATACTAGAAGAATAAAGGAGAAGTTAAGAGTGTGTGTAGGTAGGGAGGTAAGGATGGGGGTGCTGGGTAACAGATATAATTACTGAATAATTTTGGCTATTGTGTATGTGCAGTTAAAATTTAGGTTAATTATGTCAGTAAATATCCAAACCACCAGAAAGAGGGAAAAAAATGAGAAAACAAGAAAACCTGATCCGTTCAACAGATACAGAAAAGGCAATAAAAAATTATTCCAGAACTGCAGTTAATAAGAACTACAAAAGAAGATGCCCAGCATAGGGCCCCAAAGATCTGTAATCAAAATAAATGTGAATGAGTTAAATTCACTTGTTAATAAAGGGTCTTTAGTTTGTTAAGAAAATAAAAACTTGGGCGCCTGGGTGGCTCAGCCGGTTAAGCGTCTGCCTTCGGCTCAGGTCATGATCCCAGGGTCCTGGGATCGAGCCCCGCATCGGGCTCCCTGCTCCGCAGGAAGCCTGCTTCTCCCCCTCCCACTCCCCCTGCTCATGTTCCCTCTCTTGCTGTGTCTCTCTCTGTCAAATAAATAAGTAAAATCTTTAAAAAAAATAAAAATAAAAATAAAAACTTAAGGAATACTTTGCAAAAATCAGTCCTGAAATAAAACAATACAGGAAGTTGAGGGGGGGAAGTACAAAGACAGATATAGGACCAAAAATGCTAACAAAATTTAAATAAAAGCAACATTAATGTCAGGTTTAAACATTTCAATCAGAAAAGCATCATAAAGAATGAGATATCTCATACTGATAAAAGAAACCAACTAAAAAGATATAAACAGCTAAGAATCCTATGTACCAAACTTTAGTATCAAATGTAAATCAAACGGGAGACAGAAAAACTGAAGGAAAAAAAAGCAAAACCACCTACCTTGAAAACAGATAACACCTTTTTTGACAAATACCCATGGAATAGTCATAGAAAGTACGTACGTGTACACACACACACACACACACACACACCATACAGCACTATAGAAAACATCACTAAATTACAAAAAGTACAAATAATACAGATGGTATTTCTGAATTACAATGCAATCACATTAGAAACAACAAAACCAGCAAATAAAAATGCCTTAAGTATTGAGCTGAAGAAGAAATACCAGAACTGCAGGTTTATCAAGAAAATACCAGTGAAAACAACACACATAATAAGTTTTAAGATAAGACTAAACCAGCAGTAAGGGAAAAACTCCTGGTCTTAATTATTTTCAACAAAAAAGAATGAATAGAAGCAGAAGGAATTGGTGAAGATAAAAGTAGCAATCAATGACTTTAGAGGTGAACTAATAACTCCAAGGCATGACTTTATGAAAAAAATTAACAAGTTAACCTAATTTTTAAAAAACAAAAATGTAAAAAAATGAGATGATTTTTTAAAATTAAGACATTTCTTTAGGCTCAACTCTATAAATAATTTGAAAAGATGGAGGAAGGATTTAACACTGGCCCCACAAGAGGCAAGAAAATAAAGATTAATTAACATATAAGAAATGGAGGAATTGATGAAATCACCCATCAGGATCAGACAGTTTGATCAATATTGCCATACTTTTTTTTTTTTTTACTAGCATACTTTTAAAAAACCTGGAACTCTAAGTCTCATGCTATTTAAACTGTTGAAGAGCACAGCAGAAGATGGAACACCAACACTATTACAAATTAAGTCTGACAAAATTTTAGTAATCCCAAACAATGGGGAGAAAAAAGAAGAAATATAAATAGTTCAGGGATTAAAAAAAAGAGAGAGAGACGTAACTCCAAATGTAGAGATTCTGGAAATACAAGAAAATACTGTGTATAACCTATACCTGTAAAACAGAAAACCAGCTAAATGGAACAATGTTCCACAACATGGCGTGGCAAATCTTTCCTGTAAAGGGCCAGATAGTAAGCATTTTAGGCTTTACAGGCCATCCAGTCTCTCTTGCAGCTACTCAGCTCTGCTGTTGTAGCACAAAAACCAGCCACAGACAACACATAAATGAATGGATGTGGCTCTGTTCCAGCAAAACCTGATATACAAAAATAGGCAATGGGCCAAATTTGCAAGCTATAGTTGCCCAGCGTCTGCTCTATAAAATATAATTTACCAAGATCAGCTTATAGAGGAGAAGATCCTATAATAACAGAAGACATTGAAAAACTCCAAGATTTACTTCTTTAAAAAGCACGAGGCCCAGATGACTTTATAGGGAATGTGCATATAAAATCCTCAAGAAACATATCATCTCAATCTACATAAACTGTTCCAGAACAAAGAAGTGCAGGTTCAAAAGACTGACTAGATTCAAATCTTGGCTCTGCATCTTACTAGATGTATAACCGTGGGCCAGGTGCTTAACCACCCTGTACCTCTGTTCTCTTATCTGTAAAACAGGGATAAGTATGAATACCTCTACCATGTAGGGTTGTTGTGAGGTTTTAAGAAGATAATGGATGTAAAGAACTGAGAATAGTACCTGGCACCTGGCACCTCAATAAATGGTGAGTGACCACTATTACCACCTAGGTTAAAAAAAGAGGAGTAAGGATGACCCTCAGG